CGTGGGGCTCGGAAGGCCTAGGGGTTGGACTTGGCTCCATGGATCCCGAGGGTTCTTGCGGTGCTTCCGGAGGATCTGGGTGATCAGCTTCGTGCTGAGACTCTGGTGGTGCTGAGAAACCGATCGGCTGGATCTGCTGGTTCTGCACATTTGAAGGATCCCTCTGAACTTCGGATCTGATGTCCTCACTCTCTTCATCATGACCATCATCGACTTGATCGCCAGAGTCTGTCTTCTCCTGAAGAGCCTCATGGCTCCCTTCAAGAACTTCACCACCTTGGACTGCAAGCTGATCTTCATCCCCTCCTTGAACAGCCGAGATCTGCCCTGTCTCCTCACCCACTGAGACCGTCTCCTCACCTGAAAGAACTTCTAGAACCTCTGGATGAGTTGGGTCAGGAGGGTCAGGATGGTTGGCCTCAAGGTCTTTCTGTTCGAGTAGAGGCTCTTGCAGTGCCGCGCGAGGCTCTTCCACTTCCTGTGACTTGAGGAAGCTGCTCAAGCAAGCGAGGACCACAGTGATGCCACGCAGAAGCGCGAAGTAGACGGTGAAGAAGGCCGCTTCACCTCCAAAGAAGGCAGCCCCGAAGGCTAAGGGGGACCAAATGCCCAAAATGCGACCCAGGGCAGGGAGACGTAAACACCAAAGCCAGCAATTCACAAGGACCCAGAAGGCCAAGCGATCTGCGTAGAGCTGCTGATTTTCATTGGCAACACATCTCGCAGATTCTGTTGCAATGCTGAAGAGAAGAACCACGGTGAGCAGCACACTTACCACCGATGCAACTTCCAGGCAAATAAGAACTACAAAAACAGCAACAACAACAAGTACCACAGTGTCGCCTTGGAACATATTGGCAACATAGCTATGCCATGGCAAGCGCTGCAATGCACTCACTGCAACTTGCCGAAAGGCATCAAATACACTCGTGGCGTACTCGATGCAATGGCTAAAGAGCTGAGTGAGGATGGTAAATGCATACGGTGCCAGGAAGCAGCCCTGAAACGCAGCAGGGTTGGGCAATCCCCCTCTTTCAAAGACCTTCTAAACAAGCATCAGCAGCTATAAGCACCAATTGGATACCAAATCCCCCAATCAATTGGGTCTAAAACAGTTAAACACCACTGCGAGTAGAAGATAGTAGAAGTAGAAGCCCAGGCGAGTAGAAGCCCTGCCTTCCAGTACTGGAGCCACAAGGACACAGCAATGAGAAGGCCAGCCGATCCTGACCCTGAGGTGTCCAAGCTCACCAAACTCCACCGCAGCAGCATCATCAGCGGCCAACAGGACCAGTAGGATAACCAGAAGCAGAACTCCTCCTCCAATTCAGCAGACATCCGAAAGCCTTCCTTCAGACTTGGAAGGTATAGTCTGAAGGACCACCACTTCCTGGACTTTTGCGCCTCCTCTTCCTCCATTTGGGCTTTCTCTTCTTTTTCACGATGGTGGCGCACCAGTCCCCGAGCAGTTGCAAACAACGGCCACAGCGTGGCCACCACGATGTAGATCACCTGGGGCACTTGCTGAGGGCATAGGCGAGCCAATTCCCAGATGACCGGGCCCACCACCACAAAGGACAGATGAAAGAGCGCTTGCTGCAAAGATCGCAAGCAGGCCACCGAGCTCTCTTGGAGCCAGACTCTTGCTCTCCAAATGCGTAGAATCACATAGACAGCCCCGCCCAGGCCCATGGCACAAAGAGCAAGGACACCCTTCTCCTCCCAAGACAATGAGCGCCAAAGCCAGAGTGAGGACGAATAGAAATCCAAAAGCAGAGGGCATAGCACATTCCACCTCACATGTCCAGTCTGAAAAGTTGACCATGAGCCCGGCAAGCCAACTTGCTTCTGCTCAAGCCAATTCCCGCCCTTGCTTATGGTGCGAATATATAGATGTTGGATAGATATAGATGTTGGTTTAGAAGAAAGAAATATAATATTTTATAAATGCTGATTGTTTTTTTCCAAATTCGGCAGGAGACAGGTCGTGAAGGGCAGGGACGAAGAAGGCCAACCATGCTGCGAGCATCTCAATAACCGCTCGAATCGCGTCTGTTGTCTTCGTAGCAGCAATTTGTGCATGCTGAACAACTTGGTGCCATGCAGATTGCCCACGTTCCAACTGCCATGCAAACCAACAGAGCCAGGCGACCACGAAGGCACCAGTGGTGCGTGGCCGTCGGAAAAAGCTCCACAAGATCAGTAGCAAAAGGAGAAGCGAGGCACCAATGTCACACAGGAGTGTTTCGTGCCTCTGTACCTCAGGGAGGCCCTCGTTACACTTCATCATACAAACGTTCATAAGCGTTCCTTAAAGCGTTCCAAAAGCGCTTTTAGGCACCAGATCCACCATGAACGGCCTCAACAAATCCGGCAAAAAAAAGAAACATTGCGCTTTTAAGGTGCTCCACAACAAACGTCCCCTTTCATCCCCCACGAAACCTTCTTATAACCATTAAAAAACACACAGATATACGCATAAACACTCCGAATATCTCAGAATACTCTCTCCATCCCCGAACACCACTTGGCGTACCAATACAATTTCATCATGGTTCTACACCGTCTCCGAGAAAACCACCGTCCTCCGCGGCCCCACCGGTTCTTCCTACCTGGTCGAAGGCTTTGTTCAGAAGCTGCGCCCAAGGATCCGTCGTGCGATCCGACTCCATCGAGCGCACCGTCACCGCCGCACGGCGCCGGCGCCGCACGGCGCGAAGCGGGGCGCGTTCGTTGAAGATGAGTGACCGGTGCGGTGAATGCGGATGACCGGTTCGGTGCGTCTCATTAGTCGTAACCGTGTCCAGTCTTGCGGATGATAAGGGCAAGGTTCAAGTGGACAGGCAAGCGGCTGAAGGCTAGATGATGCAATGGACTTTGAAGTGAAACTGATGGCTAGTGAAGGTGTTGTTCCCTCCGAGAATTCTGTTTGCATGAATGCCATAGTGATATAGTGGTTTCCCACACCGCAGCATGAGGATTGATTTGGCAACGATGGGATTGGCGATGAAGTTGCTGGCAAGAAGGCATGTGTTTTTTTCATATAATCTAACTGGAAATTTGAGTGGGGTTAAAGTAGAGATGTTATTCTGGCAAGGCTTTTTGTAGAACGCTTGAACGCTTGCGAAGGCCGGCGACGGATCAGGCCGGCATGGCCTGAGATAGACAATACCCTGCGCCTGCAAAAAACACATTTATCAATACCGCAAGGCTAAAAAATTAGAAACATCCACTGGATGTATGTGTAATATATTGTAATATATTGTAATGACGTCTGATCACCGGATATTTTTTGCCTGGTGTTTTTTAACCGTCTCTAGAAAGAAACCCGCACGGCCTCATGTTTTCTGTGTTTGGCCTCCATCACCATCTTCCTTTCTGAGCTCTCAACTCAGAAATATCTGGATGCCGAGGATCTACCGGATGGTAAACCTAGGTGGTCACGATGCGGAATGGCGAGGACAAGCTAGCAAGAGATCCAAACAGATTCAAGTCGGCACGTCTGCTAAGCCAATCTGCTGCTGCACTGGGACACCCCACATGAGCAGAAGGTGTGCTGTATGCTAATCGAACTTGGTCTTCAATGCTATGAGGGACAAACTTCGTCCCCCGTGGGGCACCTCACAACGCTCAAGCCAGCCAGCCAGGGCCAGAGCGGGCAGCCACGGCCAGAGAGCGCCAGGGATCGTCAACATATGGGCAACCCCAAAAGAAATGTATACTGTATATTATATATATTATTTGTGGCACGGTTGGAAAAATGCCAAGCAACTGGTCTGAGTCAGGGCCATTCAAAGTGTAGGACCAGAATTTGGTGTACGTGTCCCTGATGCGGCCATTGGAGGTGTTTATGCTGCTTGGCTCTCTGTCCATTGAATGGTTGACTGGTTGACTTCTTGATCTTGTTGGTTACACGATGTCGCCCACACAAGGAGCCTGGAATGCCTGTGGCATGGCCTGAGCGCCTATGCGGAGATGCCTACACGTCTGATTGTGATCGATAGACGGATCACGACGTTGACCAGAAGTTGTCTGTCCTCCCTCCAACCATGGTGGATGTCATGGTCCAAAAGACCAGGTGTTCAATCCTCTACAATGTGGGTATCCGCTTCATCTTCATTCCACTGCCCTTCCGCTTCATGTATCGCTAGAACGAGCAAAAAAAGCAGAATTGACAGGCTGCTGTGGTTTAGTAGAGTCTTGAAACAATCGAAACAATCTCTAGTTGATGGTTTTCGTGGTTACTTGCTTTTTCCAGCCTTAGACTACGGACTCTCTCGGTTCTTTTGGAACATAAAGGTTCACCGTTTGTCACCTCTTAAATGTTTAGGCGGGAGTGGCAGCAGGTGGCAGGTGGCAGGGTGATCCACGAACTTCCTGGATAGAAGTTCAACTATCCAAACACCGACATCGGATGCCAGGAACAACTCGCGCCTGGGCGCCGCGGCCGCAGGGGCGCAGGCGCCGCCATGCCCGGGTGAGACCGAGCAAAGCCAAACGCTGTGAGACCCGGAGGTCCGATGCAGGCAAAAGCTCCAGCTTGCCTTTCAGAAATTGGTGAAAGTTCACACGTGAATACCAGAGAATCGAAGATATTCCAGTTGGTGCCCCAAAAGAATTGCGACATGGCGATGTGTCAGAACCGTCAGCTCACGTCAGCTCACCAGCTCACTCCCACCGTCCCTGGGGAACGGACCTGGTTTTGAGGGATGATGAAAGTCCTTGGGTTTTGATGCAATTCACTGCGGTGATCTGCGGTGTACAAACCATTTCACAGACCGGTGCATCATGTGTCTTTTTTTTGTTTTGGAAGGGCGGCTGACCATTTCACCCTGCAACATCCTGCAACCCTCTTGTCATACCACTCGCGCCGACCAAGCGGAGCCCCTGTTTCGATGCCAGGATCGATGCTTTCGGTGAAACCATGACATTCACTCAAGGCCGACCGCGCTGACTGCGCCCGGCTGCATTCCAGGTCAGCCCGGAGCACGGAGCACGACTCAATTTCCTGGAGGTCAAAAAGTTCACAGCTTCTACCGATGTCTGTCAGTGAGGCTCGCTGCGGTTTTCGCCACAGAAAAACAAGGAGGACTGCTATACATACCCGATCATACCCCTGAAACCAGCGCCGAGCACCACTCCCAAGCTTCCCAAGCTTTTAGTTCCGAGGGCGTCACCCTCCCCCACCCCCCATTTCGTGCGGGTGTCTTATCGCAGGAACGCCTGTGCCCGGGTGCCTCCACAACATCCTTTGCGTTGAGCGGGCTCGTCCTCCGCCACGACAATGGTTCCGCGTGTGCGTCGCCCGCCACCTGCGCCTCACGGTCTGGCCGAGGTCGGGTCGCGGGAGTCGGACGCAGCGGAGCTTCGTCGGCTTTGGGCTTCGGTCCACGGTCCGCAAAGAGCATCAAAGAGCGAGTCGGTCGAGTTGTTCAGTGCATCTTCCAAGTGGGTCAACCCATAGAACATATATAACAAAGAACCTGACAAAGAACCTGATCAACGATGATCAACGGCATGCATCTTTCCCAACAACCCAAGTGGCTCACGCCGGTGTTCGGTCACACCGGTCGCACCTGAGCGCGTGGCCTTGGACGTCAGCACCTTTTCGCCGTGTGAAGCCGAGCTACGTTTGTCGCGTCCGGACGCTGCGAACGTAGCGTCCGGCGCTGGGATAAGTCGTATAGCTTCTTGGTTACTAATGGTAATGCCCTTGTTGCTAGTAGCGATGCACTTGTGATTAGCGTAGCAAGAAGCTGGAAAGCCTTGGAAAAGAAGTCACATGAACTATAGACCATGAACAGTTTGGAGTTCATGCTTCGGTCTTTGAGCTGACTTGTTTGGCGCTACCAAAAGAATTGCATGAGGTTCTGGGATTCAATGGAATACAGAAGCTGGTGTTCTTTTGGAAGACTTGAGAACTTGCTGATGTCTGGCTCTGCAACGCACCAAGATCATGACATCTTCTACCAGCGCACCAAAAGTCTCCTCCACATCATCTTGAGCGCGGCTCGGGAAATAAAACATCAGGAACCTTTGTAGGAAGCATCCGGAATCCTTCCTTTCACCTCACTAGAGGATCTAGAGGGAAACAACATGAATCCAATCGGAAAGGGAAATGGAACAAAATAGATCCCCTGGAAGTCCAAGACCATTAATGGTGGACCTGGTGTGGTAGTGCAAAATCCTTAAAACCATGGTTTTCTTCGGGCTTCCATCCATGGAAACTTTCTGTGGCTCCTCTGACTCGGTGCTCTCTCCGCTCTCTCCGCTCGCGACACGACAGTGCCACTCCTCGACTCCGTGGCCAAGTTTGGCTGATGCCTGAGAGCTGGTGGCGAACAATCGTCGCTGTGACGTCCGAATGGACAGGTCGAATGGTCGAATGGACAGAGACAGTCTTGAACATCCTGAAGCGCTGAGCGCTGACTCATATCTTCTGCTTCTGTCATTTCTTCATCTATCTCCGTCATTCTCATTTCTCTTCACGTCCCTTAGCGCGTGGCCACACTGTGCCTGGCGTTGATGCTCCTCGAAACCCAGCTGGTCACTGGAAACACGTCCGGCGTCCTGCCGACCTGCGCCCCGGCCGGACCGGCGCCTGGCATAGCTTTCGGCGTCCGCTTTGGGAACTCGCGCCTCGGCGGCGTTTCCCCCTTTGGAGGAGGCTGGCGGAAGCGTTTCCGCCTTCTCCAAACTTCTCCAATGGGCTCCCGGCGGGTGGTTCGGCGGTGTTTTTCGTTGGCTTAGAACCCATTGTTTGACTCTCATAGACTGCGACCTCGCGGGTTTGGAGACCTTCTCTAAGAGGTGCCTTTTGAGGGGGGAAAAAGACCTGCTGAAGATTCGGGGGTTCGTGAACTTGCCCCAACAAAAACTGACCCTGCCTGGGACTGCAAGTCGCACTTGTTGCCCACAATGGCCAGGGCGCACTGTGGTCCCTCAGACGGCACGAGGAGTGCGTCGAAAACGCGAAAACACGAACTGCTCGCAGTGTCCAGGGAGTCAAATCTCACCTCTTTTCCCGGCAGTCACGGGTACACCAAGTTGATCCTACCAGGACCTTTCCACCTCTTCAGGATTGGTAAGTGACCTGAAATCAAGGCCTGGTAAGTCACCGACCCGCCACTGGGATCTGATTTCGGCGGTCACTGGGAAGGTGTTGATCCTAGATCCATTTCTGTGGTTCGAATCCAAGTCGAAGTCGGATTTCTTCGAAGAACTTCATCCCTTTTCCACCTCTTCACCGTCCCAACAGGGTTTGCCACCGAGCTGGGTTGAAGTAGTGTGACATCCTTACAAACCCATGGTTGTTCGGTAAACCATAAAACAACCATAAACAACCAACGAATCAACCGTATTGGGTCCCTTGGAATCCGGTGATCGATCGACCTGGGAGATACCTCCATAGAGAGAGACCTCTCGGACCCCCCGGCGGCCACTTGGAGCTCTTCCACCCACTTGGCGACTCTCCTGTTCCATTGGCCGACGCACGCCGGGGCCAAAGGTTCACATGTATAGAAAATGAGCTCGGGGGGCCCCACCCCAAGATTCTCAGTTCATAGGATTTCGAGTTCCTTTATGTGTCTTTCATTTACCTTTATACTTTATAGGCTTATAGACTAAAAAAGGTGATATGAGGTGACTAAGTACATCTAAGTACAGTAGCTTGAAACAAGGGTCCGCGTCCGTGATCATTCGGTCCAAGCACTCCCTGTGTTGGAAAAAGCATAGAAAATGACCCCACATGCATGCTGATGTATCCCTACAGGTCCAGTCTGACCCAGCAACACTTGATTCTTTACCTCATGGCTCGCCATGGTCTTTGTGTGATCCACTCCAAAGTTAAACATAGATGCGATCCTTTTGACATCTTTTGACCTGTATAGTGTGATGGTTCGGTCTTTTACGATTATAGGCTTTAGGGATTGGTTTTTCATCACCCACGTGAACACCAAGTCCTAAAGCTCTCGGGCTCGGTGACGTCGTACACCAACAACGCGCCTGGCGTCACCGAGTCACCGTCACCGGACCGCGCGGCGTCTGGCACGACTCGTTTCTTGAAAATTCATCCGATTTGATGAGCGAGTCCAGTGGTCCAGTTGGTTAGGTGGTATTAGTATATGTATTGTATATGATGTATCTGTATATAGTAACTTTTGAGCTGTGAATGTTGATGTCTTACAGATCTGCAAAGACTCGTTTGGGTGTCAAGGCCTAGGGTGTCCCACATGGCAAGACTCTTTGGTGGCACAGGTCCCCGGTCCAAAAGCAGCTGGCCCTTCCAGTTGTGGGAGTTGTCCACCCAGCGTTTGAAACGAAAAGGAAAAGACGACGACTAAGACGACTGAGACGCTCACCATCAGCATCCCGATAGTAGATGGGTGCCAATGCATGGAAACGCTCCTGGCACGTGCGTTTAGCCACAAACACGGCCACCTTCACTGCCAAACACATGAAAAAACGACAGGTGAGCATCTCCTGGCCGGCGGTGTCCCACAGGGAGAGTTGCACCTATGAAGATGGGCGCAAGATGGCAAGACGGGAAAGAGGGCAATGAGATGCATATATGGCATATAATACATGGAGTGTCTGGGATATAGACTGTACCAGGATGTACCAGGAGACCCCAAGGAGGTGTTGCTTGAGCCCTAACGGGTGGTGACTGGACACCCCTTGGGGTCTCCTGCCAGATGCCTGTAGACCGTAGACAGTTGATGAATCAAACCCCTCCGTCTACCTACGAGGTCCTTGGGTCCTCCGCCACGTCACGGGCGTCCGACCCGGCTCCGCCCCCACAGGTCCGCCCAACGTTCCAAGCTGGACGTTCGGGGATCGTGCTATATCGCAGCGTTCCAGGGTTGGTCGCCGGCGCGTTCGGACCGTGTCCGGCGGAGCGTGTTGTTGCTTCGACGTTCAGAAACTCTAAGAATCATATCTACAGACCCCCAAATAGATAGAAAAGTAAATCCCCACAGAGAAAATGTGTTGGAAACCGTGCCACTATCTATTTGGGGACCATGTAATGGTGTGGTCAACCCCAAAAACGGAGAAAACAACCTATAATAAATGGAGACCAAGCGGGAAACAAAATACCACAAGCCTAAGCCGCCCCGCAATAAGAGTTGAACCTTACAAGCCGCCCCGCAACCAGCACCGTCCTCCCACCAGCCGTATGCCCCGCAGCCCTCAAATGCCACTCAGGTTTGTCGAGATCGGTGCTTCAGGGAATTGAAAGTCGGGAACCCACACGGTAAGTAAGTATGCACCCAAAGAAAGAAGTCACTTTTCGCCTGAACCCAAAGCCCATGCCTAATAGTATGCAGCAAATTGCTGTATCGGTCTCATGTCATTTTCGTCCAAGAGATTCAACAGTGTCTTTCACCCTCAAAATGCTTTTCCATGCTGGATCGTGGGTCCAATTCCTGATCTTGGGGCTCCTTGGGCTGGGCTTCCAGCTCCCCCCATTCTTCCTGCCTGCGTCCCTCGAAGCTGCAGCACCTTGTCAAGATATGCGGCGCTTTGCGTTGAGGCCTCCAGAGCGACGCCAGGCGACGCCAGTATCGACGCGAGATCCCGGCGCGAGGATCACGTCACTATCTGGGCTGTCTGACGACGGATTGCAATCATCTTCACATCTACCAGCACCCGACTCTATTGGGTTTCTGTTGGGTGGTGTTTTTCGACTCAGAGGTGGCAGGTGGTGACCTGTAGAGTCGGGTGCTGGTACTAGATGATGTAAGATGAACCATGATGAATGAATCCAAGAATATGACCATAGGTTCCTATTGGTGTTTGGAAATGATCCGTGTTCTATCTACTTGGGGACCCACAAAGAATCACTCTAATATTGGAGCTGTTGTTTCTTGACGATTGAATGATGGCAACCTAAGCAGAGCAAAGCCCTCAGACCACGCTTTGGTCCACTCTCGGCGGCCCCTCTTTCCTCTCGGCGTGCCTCGTCGCTGTCGAAGGACTGCGACACATAGCGACGCAGCAATGAGGTCTTCCCCACACGGCCCTGGTGGCGGTCGCCGTCGGCTCTTCCGATGTGGGCAGTCGCTGCTTCGAGCTCCGTCGGGTGAAACGCGCGGGTCGCTTGCTTCTGCGGGTGAAACGCGCGAATGGAGCTCCAAGTGAGCGACCCAAAATGTCGTCCATCTTTTTGGGTCCGCGTCTGCTTCGTTTTGGGGTTTCCCGCTTCGTTTTCCGAATGTGCAAGATCTCACCCCAAATGGACCATTTATGACCATTTTGCATAAAAAACTGAGCGCTCAGATTTGGGGGGGCTCAAGTCTCTCCGACTCCTGATCCAAAGGTTCTCCGTGCCATGAGCTCCCTGCATAACCGCACGCGCTGCGATTGAACGAGCCCAAGAAGGAGCATGGGCCCATGACGAGCACGAACGACGTGGTACGTCGGAGCGCACACGTGGAGACGTGTGTTGCGCGCCTCCCCCAAGATGACGATCTTGAAGGGCCCAAAGTGCTTTTGGCTCATGGCACATGGACTGTTTCGGAAGACGCTCCACTCGATGGCAGGACACCTCTGGATGGCTCTGCTCACACTAAGACCAGTCAAGGCAGGCAGTGCGGGGTGTTTGCATCAAGCAGTTTTGCAGGTCGAACTCCAAGCCCTGAAAGTGATGCAGTTTCAGCCCAAGACTTGGCACTCCAAGCCCTGAGCCACATATTTTGCAGGACCCAACCACCAGGCAAATGTGTTAGAAAGATGGGTGTCTACTGATTGTTTTGCGTGCGTATGTGCCACTCACACTCTCTGCTTGAATCTCTGAAACCCCACCCTGAGTGCTCCAAAATCATAGAGCTCAAACTACACGACAAATCAGGACGACCCAATAGTGATGTAGGGGAGTTGTTTCAGATGGTGCCCCGTTCGATGGTCCTTTCCAGGAGGTCTTTTCCTGCCATCGCCTTCCTCTTCTCGAGGCCTGTGTCAATTCGGCAGAGTTCTCGATGCTGTTCGAAATCAGAGACCGTGCATCAGTCGATGGCGGTCTGAACACATAATTTGACAAATCAACCTGTATCTGTCCATGTAGATATTGAATAATTCATATGCTGTCTGTCTTGAACATTGAATGATGGTGTTGATATACTTCTTGGAACAGTCCGAAAAGCTAAATGGATATTTGCTTCTCATGCTACGTGCACAAGTATATTCAGGACCTCGAGAGGCCTTTTCGATGCAAGACTATTTCAGCTCTCTTTTGAGCTCAGCTGGAAAGCAAGATTTCAGCCTTGCCGAACAGTCGCCATCACCAGACACAAAGTTCTCGACACAACACATTTCGTGCCAGGGCTATAAATTAGCTATCTGAATCTCTATATATATGTCAATGTGTGTGTGCCTTGTACAACTTATGACTTCAGCTCGGAAGGGAGACATGGAAGGGAGACATGGCTTTCTTGTAGTTAGCAAAGGCAGGTTTCAACAAAACAAGTGTCAACAATGAGCACGACAAACTTCACTTAGGAGTCAAAGAAAAAACAGCATGCAGCTCAGCTGACACTGAGCAAGAGCTTTGCAACTAGCTAAGAGCATTCAAAGCTCTGAAGGTTGAACACGACCCATCTGAAGGTTTGTCCAACAGGTCGTTTGGCCAACTAGTTACCGCAACATCTTTGTTGGTTGCAAACCACCTGTTCGTTTGTGGGCCAGTGGACTGGCATGGAGAACAAACATCGCGGATGGGGGTATCGCGTATATAGGGCATCGCGGGAAAGGTCGCTTCAGATCCCCGATGTTCAAAGCTTAACATGTGGAGTTCCTTCAGATAAAGAAGCTCTTGAAAGAACAAACAGACTTGGACATCGCTTCTGAGGGGGGGTCTTTCCAAATTCTCAAGATTGAAGGCGGCTCACATCCTCTGCTCTACATACCGTGTTTTTGATGGTTGCTCATGTAGATACATCGCATTATGATGCATTATGAAGTATGTCATATTTCTATAGATGGCTCAAGTAGCGCTCAAGAAACTTATACTTTCCCGCCACACATGGAACATGGAAACACCGGTCAAACAGGTCCGTAACGGTCCGTGGGTCTGTCAAACAGAGCCGTTTTTCCAGGATTCCATATCCGATTCCATATCCATGGACAGAGCGAATTTTCCAGGTGCATTTGGTGTTTGCCCTGCCCCCCCCCCACATTATCATCGCTGGAAAATGTGGTCTTCTTCGGTCGAGTCTCGTCTCGGCTGAGTCGAGTATGATCCATACTGCAGTCATAAAGCTGAGGTCATGACAGCTCTCTCCAAATCTCCTTTGGCCGCCTATCACACCAAGTCTCGCAGGCTCGCAGGGTGGGATGTCCAGGGTATTTCACAGGAAGGAATCAATGATGAACCACTGCCAAAGACCGGATTCTTAAGTGGCATTGTCAAATCTGGTCTTTCGCCGTCGTTGCGCATCGTTGATTCTTTTCGGCGTCATTGCCTGCCTCCAACGCAATTTTGGACGCCGCCCGGTCAAAGCCCATACTGACGAGCTGCTCCAAAGATGGATCCCCTGCATGAAGAGAGCATCCAAAAACGATTCCCAATTCCCAAGTGCATCTCTTGGCGTCTTACTCATTTAAGTTCTGGCTGGAGTTGTGTACTTATATAGACTCGGGAAGATTAACATGGAACCTGAAAACCACTGGGTTGTAGAGGGAAATCGTCTTCCAGTCTGGTCCATGCCATCAGGTTCCATGTTAGTTTTCGGGAGTGTAATATACTTGGGCATCTTCACCTATTGCATATCTAACGGCACCTCCAACAGCGGTCCCTTGAGGAGCTGCTGCTGGTGCTGCTGGTGCTGCGGCGGGCGCCGCAGGCGCCGCAGGCGCGGCGGGCGCTGGCGACGCGGGCGCAGGCTGCGCGGGGCTCTCAGGTGAGGGGGCTGCTGGAGCCGGACCTGAGCCAAGATAGCAAGGGCCGCAAGGGCATGTTTGCTCAGGACCGCCTTTTTTTGTAATCATCTCTGGTCTGATATTTTCCAATATTCCACAGTGAGTCAAGATAGTTGAGACCTGTTGAGATCTTGGTAAACAATCACGTGACGGTTATGATTCTGGAGTTATGCACTGGCACTGGCCTCCTCCGCCTCCAAAGCGCGCAAGTCGAGCCTGGCCATGGCGACCATATGAATGCATTGGGTCTATAGAGTCTATCCTGTTCCGCAGGCCCGGATGGTTCAGTTGCAGGGCCCTGCTTCCTTCAAAAACAGTGATAGGTGGTAGTGTACTGATTGTTACAGGTAGGACAGACTCTGAGCCAATCAATTCACTTCATCCAACAGCAGTCACTGTGATGACCCAACTGCCCTCAGCGTAAGATCCCAACTGCCCTCAGCGCGGCTGCGTCACTGGAGGGAGCTGGAGCTGCCGCTGCGGCAGTTGGTTGGGCCTCCGCTGTCCCAACAGGTTGGCTGTTCTCCAGGACAGTGATGTCCTTTTGAGAAGAATAGAGGGGTCGGTGCCAGGCACCATTTGCCTATTGGTTGTACACTTGGGGGGGTTATTCCCTCCATGAATCATCCAACCATGGGCGTAAGGGCCATCTGTGCTCCAACAGTTTTGTTTCTGGCCCTGGCAAGACAAGGACGACCGAGCTGCCTCGCTCACTGAGCCAGGGACGGCACTGGTGCCAGAGCTTAATGTCTGGCCTGATCCGGCAAACAGACTGTACGTCTGTCGGGGTCGCCCACAACCTGTCAGGACAGACACACCAGAGTTGTTGTTTGTAGAACGACTGCTTTCAACGACTCAACCATCTGCTTTCTTCACACAAAAAGCAACACCATCACACCTTGAACAGCTTCTAAAAGCTTCTTGTGATCTTCTTCTAAAGCAGTCCTGCGCCATGCAATCCGACATTCACTGTTGCTTTCTGAACTCGATTCTGCGAATTCTGGCAAACGACGGTCGGGGATTCGGCTGTCTTTGGGAAGTCTCCGCGCACCACGAAGACGCTGTAGCCCTCTCGGACCTGAGCCACCGAGTAAAACAAGGAGCCACCAAGCCATCGCCGTGTTTTTTCGGTGTTCCTTCCACACCAGCAATCCATGGTAAATCCCGATTCGAATCATAAAGTTAGATATAAACCTATTAAACCTGTTACACCACAGAACGAACGGTGTTTCAGGGCTGTTTCCCAATCCGGGTCGAACGACTTCCGTCCGGCGTCGACCGACGTTCCGACGCCCACGTCGTCTGCACGAACCGAATGTCACTGGAATGCAAGCATGCACTGAGCACCCGAGCAGCATCTCGAATGTGAAAGTCCAAGTCCGAATTGGTGTAGTGCTGTGGATTTGGCAGACAGCTGTTCAGGTCAAACCTGAGCGTCTTCTCACATTGAGCCGAAAACGTGGAAAAGAAACAAAGACACACACCCACCCGCTCTCAAATGGGTGCCATGCCAACTCAACCCCTCGGCCTAATCCGCGTGGAAGCCACGCGCCGCTTTCGAAATGCCCGGTTTCAGTGTCGACCTTCTACCACCGCAGTGTTTGGGCGCAGTGTTTGGGCGCCATCCCCATGTCGTTTCCTGGAAAAAATGGAGGGTTCGATGCCAAGTACCCATATACCGAATCAACCAACCGTAAAAGGCCATCCGTGTCATCTGCACCCCGAAGAGCGGAACCTGAGATCTCCTGCCATTCCTGACCTATCCTTCGAAGGCTGAACCAATGTTCATTCCTGAGGATCGGCCGCGCGGATTGATAGAAAAAGACGTGTTGTCCGAAGAGCGAACGAGCAAGTAGGCTTATATAGAATGGCGGCACAAACACACCCAAAAGACAAAAGCCTGATTTTCAGGATAGAGATGCACATGCGCAAGACACGAGGTATGCGGTATGCAACTACATAAGAACCTGTGTAATTTCATACATCAACATGCATCAACTATATATCTGCTGGATGATCTTGGCATATCTCAGCTTTCTGAGGTGGCGACTTGTTCAGGATGAAGGCGTTTTCTTTGGCCGTTTGAGCTTTGCAATCCTTGGCCGCCTCAAAGGTAATTACCAAGCTTGTCATATCAATATAGCCTCCGGCCTCCGGAATACCACAGTCTCTCTTACAGTACTGAAATCCGCACAAACACGCTCCACGTGGACATCAACATGTTCAGAACCCTGTTCCCTCCTCATTGAGAGCTGCGTGCCTTTTGGTTCCATTCGTTCGTGTCCCTGCCTCTGAGGAAATGGGCAGCATCTCAAACTTCGGAATACTTGCCCTTGGGTTCCCCCTGTTGAGAACGGCCTCGAAAAATGCAAAAAAGTGTTGTCAGCACCACTCCACCAAAGCAAGTTTGGGAAAAACGATATGTCGTGTCTCAGCAGGAAACAAGAGAAAACACAATGCTGGCTTGAAGTACCTGTCTGTTCGCTTCCCGTGCACGTGCCTGCACTACTTGTACGTTGTAGAAACCGTCCATTCGAGCATTTCCTCAGGTCACACCAGGTCACACCACTCACCCCCAAAAACCGCGCAAGTTGACGCCCGTGCCGCGGGAACCACCACCGACCGCGGGAACGCCGGACCCGCCACTCAGGCATCGGAGATCGTCTCAGGCATCGACCGAAGTCCAGGTTCTCCCCACCCAGCAGCCTTCGTTCTTCCCGGTCGAGTTCCTCAGCCCAAGTGAGCAGTCTTCGGTGAAGTCAGGAGTGAGTTGAAACGAAGTCCAGCACCCAAGAGTGCCATCGTTTTTTGCTTTCTCGCTATGTGAAGGAAGATTCGTGTCATATTGTTGGATGTCTATTGGAACAGGAATCTTTGCAACTAAGCATCCATGGCAATCATTCTGAAAAAGCCATCGTCGTAAGCTGGCTTCTGACAGTCAAACACCAAAGCACACATCTTGTTTGGAACAGCATCCACACTCTGTAAATCTCTGTAATGTAGACTGTTGATAAATAGAACGCCTGGGACAGGGGGGTTATGAATCAACCGTCTACAGTAAGCAGTATGCAAAGTCTATGCAAAGTCCTGCAGCAAGTTGTTCACGCAGTGGAGGGCCTCGGTTTGGACCAAGAGTGGATCTGGTTTCGTACGAAATGGGGATAGGTCGCACTCGACCTCTTTGGATTGTCACTGTTGTTCATCTTCGACCCGTCCACGTCAGTAGGTTCATCACGGTCTGCCGTGACCCAACCCTTGGGCCGGTCTTGCGCGGGTCGAACCTGAAAGAGGAGGGAAAACCACGGAAGGACCATGGACCATGTCCGAAGCTGCGAGCTGGCAAGAGGTGATAGCACCCCCAGAACCCTAGAACCCTTCACTCCATGTCATCATCATTGGACACATCTCCCTCAATGGCAACGTAGTATTGCCAGTACCGATGATGTATCTTGAACGGTGTTCAACCGGCGAAAAAAGGAAACCGTTCAGCTAAAATAAGGAAGCCACTAAGTCTTGGGTAAGTGCATTTCCCCACTATGTCAGATCCTAAAATGAGCTTAAATCGTTCTTTGCGATCAAACCTGCGTCTTGATCTTTTTGGGGGGTCAGACCTGTTTACTCATTCTTTCGATCCTCCCGCCCAGCTGGCCTTCTGGAAGGCCAGCTAAAAGCCTTGAGGAGCGGACGCACAAGGAGCCCACCTGCTTTTCGTGATAGATGCCACCAGGTCCCCATGGACTCTTGTCCTTTCCTGAGCACATCACGGTCGGTCATGCTCACCGGCTCGTGCTCGTTCTCGCTCGTTTTTCCGGTGCTCGTTTCCGGTCTCAGCGAGCCAGCGAATTCGCCCAGCCAGCAGCCGGGGGTGGTGTGTTTGGGGCTTCGGAACAAGGCCTTTGAAGCAAGAGACCACTTGTGAAGAATTCGTTGAAGAAAGAGTCTTTGTTGCTTTGATGGATGATCATGTCTTAAAGACTTCAAGATCCCATCTCCCTGCCATAAGTTGGGCTTTTGGTCCCCAGCCAACCAAGATCCACAAGCCTGGCGTCCCCAGCATCGTTCCTACGCATTGGACGAGGCTCCATCCGCGCTGTCGCGCGAGGCGCAATCCGAAAGGCCCACGATCGGCCTCAGGTCATGCGCGGCTGTACGGCCCACGTGGCCGGTCAGGTCCTGTGTCAACCAGCTCTCGCACAACTGTGACGGTTCAGGTCAAGCGGTCTCAGCTTCAACTCTCCTCCGGTGACGTTTCTCAGCACCAACAGGTGGCAGAGATGTTTCGTGCATGGTGCATGGTGGCACCAAGTTGGTCACTAGAAGTCAGTGTAGTGTAGATAAAAGGATACGGCTGTCGGTCATGGCACCAGGACACCCTGTGTGCGTGTGTTTTTCTTTTTTTTTTTTTTTCGAACATGAATAGAATAGACTAGGAAAGCTACAGGGGTCCGGGGTTTGGACCCACACTTGCAGGAATTGGAGCCTTCAAAAAGTGCCATTGTTCCATGCCATGTGCATGTGAGATCTGTGCCAAGAGTGGATCTCCCCGATCTGTGGAATCTGTGGAGAAGGAAAATTAGGGACGATAGAAGCGCCCTGCCCATGCCGCCCTGCCCATCCACTGTTGAGGCTCAGGCATGAATGATTCCGAGCCACTTTACTCCCCTCAAAAGTACAAGACCTAGAAATAGCTTGAGCAGGAGTCGTGCGCGAGCACAACAGGTGACATTCCGCTTCATCCTCCAAGATAAAAGTTCACTCGGTTTCGTCTAATGAGCTGCAAGCAGCACGGTCTCGCTCAGCTTTCACTCTTGGCATGTGTCAGCAAAGAATCGTCCAAATGAAGTTCTTCGAAGGAAGCTGGTAGCTTGTCTTGCTCCCCTGCTATAGCAGTTCTTAGCGACGTCTCCTCTGCCATAAAATCTTGAACAAAGTCCCGCTTTGCATCACCTGCTGGCCCCGATTGTGCGTGGCCCAGCGCATAGCCGTTCTTCAAAAAGTTGACTTCCAGGAGCCAAAGCGTTCCAGTCTTGTCGATCAAGAAGTCAAAGCCAAAGCGTCGCAGCTTCTTCCCTGCCGCGCTGCGCCCACTAGCTTCATCGGGATCCAGTGTAAGGAGAGAAGTTGGCTTTAAGCTCAGTGCGTGGAAGAGGGAACAAACAACGCTCTTGACTTGAGGTCGAAACATCTCGTCAAAAGATGAAGCACCAGAGGCCAGCAAATAGGCGTCCAAATCTCGAATCGGCCATCGCCGTTGCTTCTCATATCCAGATCCCTGCCTCAGGTTGGTGATATGACTCGAGGGGTCCAGTTGCGGAGTGAAAGGGCTCATGGCCAAACTCACAAAGCCCTCTCTGTACAACCAAAGTCGGCATGGATCTCGCAGGGTAGCCAGCACAATCATCCGCAAGTTGTACTTAAACGTCGCAGGAAGAGAGGACGCAAAGAAAGAGTTTGCACATAGGTTCTCGTGCAGCAAATGGGGTTCCTCGATGAGTTTCTGCAAGACACCTGGCAGTGAGTTGTTATGTCCACCGAAAAGAGTCAAGTGCAATGTCAACCTTCCCAGTTAGAGGGATGGGACAAATACAAAGCACCACCCAAATAGAATAGGCAAAATATGGATAAATATGGAACAATGACATGAAATGACTCAGTCAGGTAGTCCATCAATTGACCAGAAAATCTTCCAAAGCACCACCCAGAGACAGCCTTCTTTCACATCGTTTCCCCCTTTGAGTCCTCCCCGCCCCACCGCCGCGGCCCACTTCAGCAGCTGCTGGGGGTCTAGTGGCAAACGATCGAAGAGCAGAATGCCGCGGCCAAACTGTCCACAACTGGGCTTCAAAGCCCAAATATTCCGGTGTAACAAGGTGACCTGACACGGCAAGACTAGTGCTTTGGCAGGCATGCTAGCAGGCTATTTATAAGTTATATAAAGATCCGTTGCATGCTTTTGCACATGAAAAAAGAGATGGCCATGTATGGTCGTTCAAGAGCTCGGACCCGGACAAAGATGGAAAACCTCCTGCCTGCAGCTCAGGCATTTCTTTCATGATGCTTCCGACGCAGCTCCGGCATCGTTCCATCATTTCTGACCCCACGGAAGTGTTCCACGTGCGTGCCCAATCCACTCGCCGGATCCGTTGCCAATCCACGTCACGCACCCAGGACTGCGCATCCGCGGCGGAGACGTCGAAGGGACGGCGCGTCTCGCCTCGAACAGCACGCCTCGGCGGATGTGGCTTTTCTTGGAGCGGCTTCACCATCCAGCGGGGGTGTCGGAGTCATTTTGGCGTCCAAAAGGCGAAAAGCAAAATCCAGCCAGGTCCTTTTCGGGCGCCCTGCTGATCACCCCTTTTGGGAGATTGCCAAGAGAGGTTAAGTGACCTTACAAAGGACCTTACTGGGGTACCTATGGGATAGTCTATATGGCAACTAGTATATATAAGGTCCTTCAACTTCTGTTGGTTGGTGACAGGCATCTGCAGATTCCATGGAGCTGTTTAGACTCTCCATTGGAACCCACTGGATGTTCATGACGTGACCAAGCAGCTGGACCAAGTCAGGGGATGTGTTCATCTAACTAAACCCCCCATGAAACTGGTATCAACATGGACCATGTACAACCTACTTCGCGTGCCACTTGTAGCATCCAGTAACTTCGGAGGGACCCCTACTTCGGGTTAATCTTGGGTCCCTTCTAAAAGAATCCTGTTGGGCCCTACTGCGAGGCCAACAAGAAACCAACTCCTACTTAAAATCCAAAAGTCGACCCAGTTAACTGATGTTAACATTGACCCGATCTGGGTTGACGTTTGGATTCGAGTCAGCTGTCATGGACCAGCCGAGATCGGAGTTAGAGTGATGTGAACGAAAGAAGACCACCACCACTTAGACAATTACACCAGGCATAGACCCCAGAGAGCAATTAACTCATTGATAAATAAGTAAGAACCCCTATAGCTGTCTTGGAAAAAAAAAAGAGCAACTAACTCATTGAGAAGTAAGAACCCCTATGACCCCATATAGCTATTGCTATCTAAAACCCACACCGATCGCCAGGTCACCGTTGAGCCAGGGTGGCCTCAAGGATCGACAAGGAGGTCTCAAGGATTTCATCCGAAAGACCTTCCGGATCCTCCTCATCCTCCTCATCATCCCAAGTAATGTCCGGCAGCTCGCGACCCCACAAGCCTTCCACCTCCGTACGCCCGGCTTGGCGGCTCGCGTCCTTCACCTCGGGCACCTGCCGCGTGGCGTGTCCTTCCTGTGCGACCCATTTCACCAGCGCTAAAGCCCGAGAGATCTTGAAGTCTTCTGAGAAGCGACGAAACTCCTGAAACTCCTCTTCAAAGTCCAAGTCCTTGAGAACGTAGCTCCGGGGAACAAAGCCTAGCTCCGCAGTTCCGAGCTTTCGAAGGTTCAAGGCCAACAAATGCTTCAGATGAAGCTCGCTTACAGAACCTGGCCCTGCATCATGGCCTCTGGCACGAAGCAAGATGTCATGAACTCCATCAGACAGTTTGGTTGTATCCATGGCCGCAGACTGGCGAGCCAAAACAGGAAAAACATTGGATTGGCCTACGTGAAACCTAAAAACACGGTTTAACTTTTTGTTGATGTGTTTGGATAACCAGACTGGTCAGGCTTCCAGGCAAACTCGTGCTTCCCAGATATGATTTATGTCCAACCTGGTGGGCCGGTTTTGTCCGGACGAGTGGAGGGAGTGGCGAACGAGTAGTTACGTAGAGGCCTGGAGACCGAATCGGAGAGGCCTGGAGACCGGAAGGATCCAGAAGGCCTGGAATTCTTCCGGCCTCGGTGACCTCTCAATGTGACCTCGAACTATGCCTCTCGCAATTGAGCCAACAGCGCAAAACGGCGATGTCCATCAGCACAACTGAGTTGAGCAGCAATCGTGCTCGAATGTGAGTGGTCCATGGGTCCCTCAGCTCACACCATCTCTGTTCTGCCAGGCTGGTTGATCCAGATCTCAGGGTGCCTTGCAGGGCCTTGCACTAATTCAGCTGATAGCTATGCCCTGGTCGAAGCTCAGGCCTTGAGCTGAGTCAGTGGGTCGGCGTTGCTCTTGCATGTGATTTCAAGGCATTTCAGCTATCCAAAGCAGATGCTATGCTACGTGCGACCTCTCGCAGATTGAAGCCAGACCTTTTGGCTGTTCTTGAGTGCATCCTTGTGAATCGTCATAATGATTTGTTTGAAAACAACACTAGATTGAATATGGATTAGGTGATGCTGCGCCGTTTGTTTCCTATGTCCATGTCCGCTTCAACGCCAAGAGCTGCAAGTTGATGCAGCTGGTCCTAAAGTCCTATGGGAAAGTCTTCTTGGTCATGATGTTGTAAAAATCCTGGAGAGCGACGCCAAAAAAAAGAGAACGGCCGACGGTCTTCAGGATGGTCCAGAAACGACGACGGCTCGAACTGATGCGACGTATGCGACGGATGTGACTGATGCGAAGCCTCAGGATCAGAACCTCGAAGCCTCAGAACATCGGAACCTCGAAGCCACTGACATCACTGACTGTGTTGCCTTTTGATGGGTTTTTGGGTCCCAAGTCCCAACGCTCTCGTGGCACACAGAAGTTCCCGTGGATCCACGGACCGCCGTTCGGACCGCGCGGAGCGGCGGTCAGCCGTCCTAACGGGCCGCCGTCCGCGGTCAGTCTTCGGGTCTTCCTTCGGTCCTCTGGAGTGATCTGACCATCTCCATTGGAATCGGCTCGCTCGATCATCTCTTTGAGCTCCTGGACGGCCGTCGACGGACAGCGCGTGGGTGGTACGGCGGTGGGTTGCGGAGGGAGGGAGAGGGAGGGAGGGAGGGAGGGAGGGAGAGCTACGGCGGGCGTCCGTGCCGCGGTGTGGCGGGGCTTCTTCACCGAGTCTCCAAGGGTAGGGGAAGAACCTCCCAATAGGCTGAACTCATCTGGACGGTCTTCCCAAGTTCTGTCCACTTTCCGTTCGAACATCGCATCGAGAGAGGAGGGGATGGGCCCTGAATTCAAGTCGAAACCAATTCGAAACTCGAGTCGAAGAACAAGAAAAACTGCATTCAAGTCGAAACTCATCCAATTCGAGTCAAAGAAAAACGCTTTGAAGGATGGGCCAAGTATTGGAAGACAGGAGCAAAACTCCCATTGGAAACCCGATCTCAGGCTCTGAGACCCAGAGACACGGTGCGGTGTGTGTTTGGTATGATTGGATGGTCAGGGCTCTGGTATTCCAAAGATCACCATTTCCATCCATTTCCAGATTCTCTGAAAACCATGGAGGGTAGACCAGAACTACACCTGTCAAACGTTCACTCCATTGAACACCAGACCGAACTTCTGGACCTCGCAGCTCCCTCTTCGGCTCCCGAGCGCGGAGAGCGGCTCCCGCGCTCTCCTCTTCGGTCATGGTTTCGCCCAACTCCTTCGAGACTCTCTTGAGGTTCTTGAGGCTGATGGTCCTTTCGGGGAATACGCGAAGCGACACGGAGAGGCGACGCCGAGAGGTCAGGAGAAACGAACGAACGAAGGAACAAAGGATTCACGAGAGATACAGGTCCCTTCGGTCCCTGCAGGGATGAAAGAGGCAGGGATGAATTGAGTGAGGTGAGATATGATAGTGAGCAATAAGGAACTGCGCATGTATGTACGTACCCTGGAGTCCAAGACTATCTTTCAAGTGGCCTTCAGATTCAGATGACCCGAAAAGGAATTTCCTCTACTTCGGTGGTGCCAAAGATAGGCTTTGCATGTCTTTGGACTTCTAGGGCCTAGGGTGTACATCTGCACGTATGCAAGTAAGCCTGTTTGAGCACAACAAGAAATGCCTGCCTTTGTCGTGATCAAAACTGGGCGGTCCCTGTTTTGTCGTCGTCGAACAAGTTGAAGATCTTGTGGATTCCATCTCGCGACTCCTTGTCCCCCTGAGCAAAGTCACTCAAAAAAGAAATCTATGTGAACGATCAACTGACGAGCATGCTTAGGCATGCTTGGGGTTTGGATGGGTTTGGTTACAAACTGCGATCGTGAGTATCTGTGAGTATCGGTGTGTCATAGGTTCTAGCGTTTGGGCTAGTCGTTCGTGTGTGTATCTCTTGGCGACTCAGAACAAACGTGAACAAACAAAACCCTTCTCAGCCGCCCCACCAGTTTGGCAGTGATCGCATCCAGGAACTCGTCAAAGCCGATTCCGCTGGACGACCCTGGCGACCCGTGATCCTTGTCCCATGGGGAGAGGGTTATTGATGCCTGATTTGGGCGAACACGTTAAAGGCTTGCTGCTGTGAAGATCTGAATGAGTAATGGACCAAATCGGTGAGAGGGAACGCCTGAGGGGATGGTGAATATGAGTAGCCGCTAGTAGCCCCCCCTTGGTCAGTCCCAAAAGCAGGCCCAAGGAACGAGGGGGTCTGGGCCCTCTTCTCCCCACATCGATTTGCTCCAATCCCTGTCGACTCCAAAGGCCTATGGGTGGGTTCTGTCCTCCCAGATAGGCCATTGAAGACGCTTCAAGATAGAGGTATACAGTAGGTTCATATAGGATCAACGATCCAACATATGGCCAAACGTCCTATCAAAAACGAGGTCAAATGAGTTCATATGAGTTCTTTTTGGCGTTGGAATGCGTTGGATGTTGGAGGTGGATCTAGCTCCACCTCCCAACCTCCCCAAAACAACCTTGGCCGCTAATACGAAGCCACAGGTCCGAGCCAAACGGAGTCGTTCCACGGAGCACCGGTTCCTTTTTTCAAAGGTGTGAAGGCCATCGGCCAAGGGTGGAGGCCACCGCTATAGCAGGGTGGAGGTGTCATTCATGTAGAACCAATCATGGAATGTAGACCAAGGGTCCGTACGATTGTTCCCTGATTGTTCCTTTACAAAACAGGGGGATGGTCCACTGCCATGCGTGGCATAAGGGAGTGTCAAACGTGGGGGGAGTGGGGTATATAGTTCTGTCAGAGTTCTTTGACCTACTCTCTCTCTCTCTCTCTAAACAAAAAGCAGTGGCTCACCGTCGTGATCCAAATCCGCGATCATCTGGAAGATGGTTGGATTCTTGGTCTCAAAGCCCAGAGATCTCATGGCCGCTTTGAGCTCGCCCCTGAGCGTCAAGCGGAACGGATTTCGAGGGTGAACCCGTCAAAAGAAGTACTCCAAGCCTTGTCCAAAGACACAAAGAAGCCCACATGGAACCAACATAAGCATACATAAGCATCAACCAAGTACCTGGTCACCTCTTTGTCAGACGTCCCTCCACACCACAAAGCGGATCAGCGGGGTAGCTTTGCTTAGCGCATAAGCAGGGGGCGGATCAATGGTGCCAGAACCATCTGTGTCGAAGAGGTTGAAGGCTTCTCTGATCTCATCAATCTCATCCTGAAGCCGCGATGAATGAGATTGATGAAATGTGTCAACGTCTGCTCTGATGATATTGATGATATTGATGATGATTTGAAGGTCCTGATTGAGGCTTTTGATGATTTGAACGTCACCTTGCTATGATATTGATGATGATATAATATAATCTCTCTCTGATTTGTCAATGTCTGCGCTTCAGCTGTTTGAGGCTTTTGGATGAAAAGACGGACGTCTCGCCACACATTTGTTTCGTGCCTCCAGCTCCGAGGGACCCCGTAGAACCCAAAACGTACATGGAAAAAGAGGCCCGACACGCAGTGCATCCTATTTGAATAGACCCAGGTATAGTTTTGCCTCTAAAAACCAAGGGTCCAGTTTATCGTATACATGCATCTACAAGATCTTGGAGAGCAGCTCATGTTTGTCTCTATCTGCTGATCCCAAACGCGATGAAGTCCTCGGTCAGTCCAGGCTTGTCGTAGGTGAGCTTCTTTCGTGGCGCGCCACCCCTGCTGTGTGTCGTGAAACGAAACCCGACATTGGTGCGGAGATCAGATTGAAATGATCATCAAGAATGTCCATGAGATGTTTCACTTGTCTATCAGTTGCTTATTGTATCTTATTGAGGAAGGTTCTTCACACGAAGGAATTGTTCTGCTTCTCTGATTCTTGTCGGACGATGTATCAAATGTATTCAACTGTGTCAGACCTCCGTGGTCTATCATCACTAGTATGGGAACAGTCAGTATTACTTCGTTGTCCGGCATCACGGTCAAGTGTGCCCTACCAGTATACCAGTATACCAGTATCAAGAACACGCCAGATCTGTCAGACGTTCACTTGCCCAGCTCCTCCCATCTCTCCCCTTGGACTCAACCCACACCTGCGGGCCATTGCTACGGACGCCAACCGGAAACCGCGCACACCGCAGTCCCACCGCGCAAACCCCTTGCTCCGCCGTCAACCCAAAACAAGCAGTTAGCACGGTCTCACGGGTCACGGGCCGCGATGAGTGAACCCTTACCCTCCCGCTCACGATCCCAACCAGAATTGACCAGTGGTGGTGGTGGAAGACCATTGAGCGAAGACCAAACCTCCGTGGTGTTGAAGTTCCATGTGAAGTTTCCATGGCAGGGGAGTACTTCTTGTATTTACAGTGGTTTCAGAGGTTCGATGGCACAACCCCCCAAAGATGTCCTTTGGATAGGGGTCCATCTAAACCACCAAACTTGGGGTAACTTGTGCCATCGAAGCTCTGAAACCACTGTAAGCGCCAGACGAGTGAAGATGTCGAACTCCCGCAGTTGAGACTACGACCTCCCAGTTTCCTATGTTTCCTCGAAGTGGGTCGCCGCGAGAAACGAATTGGATGGGCGCAACAAAATGACCACCTCGTGTGACTGTTCAATCCACACAAAAGCACCTGTGACTCTTCAATCACTGCGTCAGATCTCTTTTCCAACTCATCGCTGCCTCTTTTCGTCTACACGGGGGCGATGATTTTTCTGTGAGGCTATGCTTTGTTAGCCAAACCTGGGGTGAAAGCATTCAGAACCAAACGGAATGCGAGTGAGGCCTCAGGCGTGGCAGGAGCTGCAGCTCAGCTGAGGAGTCTAGAGATCACCCTAGAGGTCGGTCGTGTAGACAAGATGATGAAGAAAACAACCCTCAGATGCTCCAAGTATGTTTGAAAACATCTCCAGATGCTCCAGGCGCTAAGGGGCTTGATTCATCAACAGTAGACAAATTGTCTACATTGGTTTAGGATTCAATATGATGCCAAAACTATCCAAAACTGATGTTCGGTAGACATACATTATATTACACTGTCACATAATTAGATGTTCATTGGTCATTGTTCGGATTGCATTGACTCATTGATGCCTAAACCCCAAACATACAGTAGATCATCGCAAGACTGATTCGTCCATGGATGGTCCGATGGTCCATGGACACAAAAGTTTAACGCATCGACACGACCGTCCCGCGAAACCCATGGACGGCAGCTTGGTCCAGGCAGCTTCTCCAGCCACAGGACCGTGAGCACAGTGACAAACAACTCCTGGCCGCATTTGGACGAACAAACAACTGCAAACAGTGAAATGTTCTCTGTGTCTGCCACGTTTTCTCCACAAGCCCCTATCGCCCCCCAAAGAGTTCTCCACAACAACCGGGCGAACGAGCCAGTCTTTTGCCAGCTTCGCCTCCCGCGTTTCTGGCTCTGACGGCGCACGTTGCGCGCAGAAAACGGTCGAACGGGAGACGGCCAACGGCAGGTCCGGTCCGGTCCGCATGGGAATCGCACGGGATCACGGTCCGGTCCCCGCCTTTGCAGCTTCAGACTCTTCCAAAAAGCAGATCTCTTTGGAAGTCTGCTCTGCATCGTCATCACGATACCTGTTGCAGAACATGTCGACCTTGCCTCAGAATATGTCAGTAGCTGGCGGACTGGCGGAGGTCAAAGCCACCGCCTTTCGCAAAAGAACTTTCTAATATATCGCGTCTTTCACAGATCAAAAGAGCAATTCGATCACTGCTATGTCATCAACTCGGTCCCTACTGGTTGGAGATCTGATCAATGTCATGTGGCATCAAATGAATCCTCACAGCTCTGTCACAAAGCATTTGGAGGGGCACTGTAGGGGATTTATATAACTACTAGTATGACTCTGTGACTTGCTGATGTGGGCTATATATGATTAAAATTGGATACAATATACTAATGAGCCATGCTTTCTCCTGCACCTGGGAGTAAGTCGAACTGCTTAGCACCCTGCTTAGCACCTCGCTCCCAAAGCGCAGATCGCTTCGGCCTCCGCCCCAAAACCACGCGCGCCGGGGCCGATGATCTCCGGTCCCAACCGCGTCGAGGGATGTGGGAGTCGACCCGCCGGTGTCCCGCAGGGTCGACTGGGTCGGACCGGGCGACGGTCGACGCCCAGAAAAGAACCGCGGAAGTGAGTGGGGGCACTTCAACAAGATGCCGCAGTTCTTCTCCAGCTCCGTGAGATGTAGATCCCACTGCGTGATCCGCAGCATGCTGTCGGTCAGGGAACAAATCGCCTGGAGACGGGCGAAGTCGATGTTTTTCGAAGGTTGTGGGGAGGTGAAACTGCTTGGAACGAGTGTTGCTCGCCAAACTGAGATACAGTCAATGCAGCATGCCCCCAAGCAAAATATAGACAAGCTATACTGTGTAGCTATAGTCTTTGGCTGCCACTCCAATGGCTCTGGGAAAAGGTTTCCCCTCCTCTTTTCGGCTATCGCGGTCAGGAGAGCTTCAACAGTCTTTGCCGAGCGGAGGTTTGTTTGGATACGTATGTCTAGATCGTTGATAGATCATTGTCCCACCTTGAGAAAAGGAGACTCCCTGTTGTCCATTCCTGAGTTGCAGTTGCATCCTTCGAGCTTTGGACTTTCGAGTCTGCCATCCACGGAGAAGAGAGTTTTGAGTTGCCACGCGCCGTTTGGAGAACAGTCGAACAGTCACAGGCTGGAGAATCCACATCATCTACCTGGTATGGTCCATGGCTTTTAGAAGTATTGACTCATTGACCCCCATGTGCCCATGGGATAAACTTGGGTAAATGGCCAGTGGATTGAGCTATATATAATTATATAGAGGAATGTCCCAAAACTATCGACAATAGTAGCACAAACAGACAGACGGACCGACAGACCGACCGACCAACCGACAGACAGACAGAGAGAGAGAGAGAGGGAGGGAGAGGGAGAGGGAGGGAAGGAGAGGGAGACAGACTCTAGCCACTTCGGGATTAGTCCAAAACAATCAGCAACCCTATTTCAGTAAACAGGTTGGCACGACCTGCTTCATGAGCCAGAGCCTCAAAATCTCCCATCACCCCCTCAGCCTCGGTCTGGGATAGACCGCCCGAGGCTCCATCCGTGCACGGCTGGGAACATCCGCGCGGACCGTGTCGGACCACGGCGCCTCGGGCCTCGCCTGGATGGCATCCATCATGATGACCACCGGCTCTAGCTCTGTTCCACCCGGTAGGAAGGACCTGGAGCTGCTCCCGTTGGCGTGGACGTGGCGCTTGGTTGCCAGCGCCACACCAACGAGCCGAGCGTCGCAAGAGCGCCGAAATGCTTCGCTGTGACATCTGGGGTGCCGCGCAAAGCAGAATGGTTGTCGTCCAAGAAGTACCTGGCTGCCACTGGCTCAAGGATGGGTGAAAATGGTAAAACGTCGTGTCCAAACAAGGGGTGTCGATTGGAAAAAGCGGTGCTGTTGACAACGACAGCTCTTATGTTCATCACTCATCGCCAAAAGTTGAGTAATCATATTGAAAAAACAACAGATAATAAGAACAAAAGTCAAATCAATATCAGAAAGTCAAACGCTCGACCGGCGGCACTTGGCTGGATGCCGCACCAACGGGATTGCCTGACCGTACCATGTGGGGTTCAAGTCAGCATCACAGCTTACGTTTGGAAGAATAGACAATGTCGAGTCACTGTTCCACGTTCATGTCCAAAAGAATTGTCTTTAGGGGACCTGAAAGGGAATTTCCTTTACTTCACTAAGTACTAAGGACAAGTATAGTGATTGGACTTCTTGAGCCATATAGAAGATGTAAACATCATGCTCCAAACCACCTGGGCACTGCTCTCGAACCGCTGTAAACTTCTTCGCTTGTGCACTTTGCCTCCTCAGTGCTGTTCAGCAGCATGGCATGTCTGCCTTGCACAGCAGAAGCAAGCCATGCCTGCCGAGATCCGTGCGAACCAATCACCATCGGCCCCTCGCCCTTTTCAATCCCAACTGTGCCAGGCTGCCCGTCGGTCCAGCAGCTGCCGACGCGTGGTGATCCGCGCGGTATGCACCTCGGGGCTTGTCTGGGCTTCTGACAGACCGATGAAGGACTGTTGACCGAGTGGGCAACCAGGGCATTGGAGTAGCGCTCTTGTGACCGCGATGCGTCGGTGGTCTCGCAGAAGTCGTAGCTCACCTTGGAGGAGGGGTGGCCGCAGGTGCGGCTGGCCACGCACCAGGTTTCAGTGGTTGAATCAGCTGGGGCTGCTGACCGGAGAGTAGTTGAGTGTCTGTATGGACACTGGCTGTCCGGCCACCTTGCAAAATTGGAACGTCACTTCAAAGGATTTTGGAAGCACGACATGGAAACGCGTAGCCAACTTCCAACAAAAGCCCAAAAAGCCCCTCTTTGGCCCTGATGGCTCTTAATCCGGTCTACCCTGTTCAGTGACTTCCACCACAATTTCAGGCCGTCCTGGCCTCGTACATGACACCTTGTTCATCATTGTCGATGACGAGCTGCGCCGAATGGCTGGCACTGCGGACAGCGGCGACACGGGTGAAGGAAAACAATTGGAAAAACGCGGGCTTTCAGAGACTTACCTCCACTATGCATCCCAAAAGGCCGTAGTTGTGGGGATGCAACCCCCATTCCTTTTTGGGAGGACCTGTTTGCCTGCGTTTTGGACCTCAGATCTCGTCAAACTAACAAGACAACTATAGACCATAGACTACGTATCAATAGACGTGAATGGGATATCAATGGATATCAATAGTCTTCCACTCCAATCCTCTCTGACTCTGTCAATTGCTTGTATTTGGTGGCTACTGGTCACATCTCATCATCTCTGGCGTTCTCCGCTTAATCGCCGCTTTCGCTTTCGCCGCGAAGAGAAAGCGCTCGCCGCGCGCCTTTCGCTCCAGCTGGCCATGCTGGCCACATAAACTCGGTCGTGTAAGCATTCGTCCTGCCGTGGGGATCTGGTGGTCGACAGAGTTCGTGAAGTATGAGTCGTGAAGTGATCCCAAACACTCCATGGGACTGGTATGTACAGTATATAATATATAATATAATATATAATATATAATATATAATATAATATATATATATATTATATGTGCTTACATGTGCTTCCAGTAAGACCCCGACTTCCACCACCCCCAATGGTATGGATTCATATGCCAGATCCCAGACCGGTCGTGTCTGGGGCGTTGACCTACCTGGTGTCGCGGCCGTTCCAACGGTCACGTCCATGCTCCGTTTTCACTCACTCACTCCTGGTCAGTGAATACAGTACTTTAAAGCACCGTGAAGAGATTCTTTCACTGAAACACATGCATCAGTCTGCATCAGTCCATATCATCCTGTTCAAAGGTTGAATGATCTAGTCCCATTGAGGCCGCTGGTTCTTTTTCTCGATGCTTCAGGCGTCGATGTGCCGTCCTTGTCAACATCACACCGAAAGTTGAAGACTCCAAAGCGAATTTCATCATCTAGCCTCGACAGCCAGAAACCGCGGTTGTGCTACCGAAGTTGATTGCTCAGTGACTTTGTTTCATCTGACATGTCCATGTTTTTTTCTGCTCAAGTTATTTCTGCCAACACTGCATGTGTCGTGACAGTTGAGTCAATTTGATCCTGAAGCCAAAATACAATGCCTTCACAGAGTCTTCGCATTGGTCCAATTCAAAAGAATGCGATCGTCACGTGCCCGCCTTTCTTGCTGGCAGCATTGAACCGGCCTTAGCGGCGAACATCGGATCTGATCGGCCGCGCGGCGAAGCAAACGTCCAATCCGGGAACCTCACGCTTGGCCCATCGCACATGGGGATGGATCTCCAAACTTCGCTGCGCTACTGAGCCGCTGGTTTGCTGCTTGAGCTGAAGATCTGCCGCGATTTCCTGGCTGAAGATCTTGAGTGAGTCCAGGAATAGCTCGGCTCACTCATCAATCCCATCAGATGAAACAAAGCCTAATATTTTTAAATGGAGATGAAACAAAGCAGCACAGACTCGGGCTTCCGAATGCCAAACACGTGAGCGGCGTGAGCTCTCTTTTTTTTCACAGTGCTTATAGGCTTATTGTCAAGGGTTTTCGGAAAAGAATGAATTCCGTTCAGAAATTATGTATGGACCGTATGGAGGTTTAATCAAGGGCGCCAAAACATCGACAGCGGGGCCCGCGGGGGGGCAGGCCCGGGCAGGCTGTTTCACAGCCACCTCGCTACTGTCAACCACCAGTGGGTCAACCACCAATGGTGTAGGATTGGTTTAAGTTTAAGTCTCTTGCTTGCACGACTCACGTTGATCAGGTTTGGAGCAGGAGCCTGAGTCTTCAAGGTGTCGCAACTTTCAGCAGCACAAATTTCAAAGCAAAGCAAAAGCATGTCATCTGTTACAAAATGAATCACAAAGAACTACACAACCTGGGATGAAAGTTCCACATGTTCTCCCCCCCAAATCTTCCCCAACAATACATCCCGCTCGTTCCACGTGAAAGCCTCACCACCGCAGCTCTCAAAAAAAGAAACACTAAAACCTCTTCTTCAGGTCCACGTGTGTTGCGTGTGTGGTCCATCTACGGCCACGGTCCCCGGGTCTCGCGTCTCGGGCGCGGGCACGTCTCGTCAATCGCCCGCATGCAGAGCGGGCAGCGCTTGTTGCGCCGGAGCCTCGTTGTATGCGGGTGCCAGCGAGGTTTGGGGGAAGAAGAAAAGAGATCCAATGCATCTGGTTGAACAAAAGACCAGAAAAAAAAAATGATTGAGTCCATTGCCCATGAACACCTTGGACCTAGAAACTCTCTCTTCGATCTTCGAGCCGATCGCTCCACCCGACCTTCGACTCGTTGAACATGGCGACGGTGTCAGTCGCCACCGATGTTCCAACCGGTGCCACCGGTGCCATCACATACGTTGGTTCATATTGAAAAAACGTGTAACAAGAAGTTGAAATAGCTATGTGCATTATGTGCTATGATTGATTTATAGATATTTATAGTGCGTACAGTAATTCATTTAACGATTCTATCAAAGAGTCAAATCCCCAACAGGTGCTCGTGATAGGCACTGTCAGTGGGGCTCCTTTGGTCTCATCAAGATCCATCAAGTTGCACGAATGTTGTCGCTCCAGTGTTCCGTGGACCACGGATAAACCCAAGGCTGCTGCCACTTGTCAATGCAATGGCAATGGAACTGATGTCCGCAGGGCAGCCTCAAACCACGCTGTGCTTGAGTTTGTTTGATTTTGTTTGTTTGTTTCGCGAGATCTAAAAGTAGAGTAGGGGGTTCCAGCCAGGTGACCCCTTCAAAGGTGCTGGTCGTCACTTTGGAGCAACTCAAACCGCGCCAACTCCCAGACCGTTTGCTTCGACGAAGTGGCACCTCCCCGAGTTCCCGGACGCCGAGAAGTGCAAACCACCACATCATTGTTTCTGAGAAACACATCCATGAAGCGTGACGTATATAGATCATGTCAGCCTGTTGTTTGAAAAATAGGCATTCTGGAGATGTTGTTATCATTCTGGTATATAGGTGGAGTCTATGAATTAACATTCTACATGTCCATGTCAAGGACTAGGTCTTTACTTCAAAAACATATCATCAACACCAGAAATGACGAGTCTGATGCGGCTGTGACGTCCAGGACATCACGACCCACCACACCGTCCGCGGAGGTCACGCGCGCGGAGGTCACGCGCGTCCGACACACGAATCGCACCTCCGCATCAGAGCGCCCTCCGCGAAGCTGCACAAGCAAATGGAGCAGGGCTCCTGGATCCAGAAGGGTCCAGAAGGGGTCACCACCGGTCAGATCCAATCAATACAGTGACCTCTATTTTGGAGGATCAACTATTCAAAATATGGCCTTTGCCATCCTTTTCCTATCAAAAACGAGGTCGGGTTCTAGGTACACGAAAAGCCACGATCTGGCTGTGACAGCCGGCACCAGGAGACCCACCGCTTTCTCTGGCTCACACGAACAGGACGACCGTCGGGCTCCTGGTACACATCACGCCACGGCCCATTTGCAGTGACATGAACACATACCCTAGGATTCCTACCACCATTGATTGAATGGTTTTTATCGAACAATCATTGTTCAATCATTGTTTTACTAAGGTGTGTACTTAAAATATTTAAAGAGGGAAAACCCCCACCACCATCCACCACCAATGGGTTTGTGGGTGTTTATGGTCTCTGCTCCTTCTTCCCATGGGGGTTTAGACCAGAGCTCTGCCTATTCTAACACCGCCCCACCCACCCACCCACCAGGGATTCACTGGTGGCGCCTGTGAAGTGGCCTCGTCTTTTAAGAGCATGTGGAAGGCGGGCAACGCTTTGATCTGCGCATGGCTGGCCTGAGAAAGAAGCTGGAAGGATCAAGGACTGCCATGGTTTTTTCTTTAAAGGCGTTGTTTCTTTTTCCGGGGGCAAGCAGATTTCATTTTTGGAGGGGGCATGTGGCTGGTAGAACATGTGAAACTGTAGAATACTGTAGAACAGTTCAGACAGTAGATTTCACAATGTGAGAAAGTGCAAGAAACATGCAATGGATCTGGCGGTAAGGCACATGCCAGTGCACAGACTCCCGAATCTGAGACCCTAGCTCCAACAGCAGCTGGAGCCTCAGCTGCTGTGACTGACACAGAGCAACATGCCGCATCCTTGACAGCATGTGTCAAATGTTGCAAACAGACGTGTGAATGAATGACCAGTCCAGCGCCCGTCTCTTCATGTCTCTACTGGCATTGCATTTGTAAGCTCTTGGAGACTCGCTGCCGAGCCACTTTGTCTGGGGTCTCCTCTGTGGTGAAGAGACCGCGAAAGAGGCACACGGCGATGCTGGCACGTGCCACTGAGAGGGACATGACCTCAACGACACAGCGATCGGCGATCGGCATGGCGATCAGCTTTGACGCCCTTCCGTCCAGTCAAAGCGTTGGTGCATGCCATGTGCGGAGGGGGTTACAGACGTTGAACATCTCTTCCACTGTCATCGTCGTGTGTGTGTGTGTGCCACGCTCTCCTTGATGATGCCAATCTCTGGCTTTTCAGCCCCTTCCCAACGAGCTTCCCGGCCGCCACCATGAGCTTGGAGATGGACGGACACTCTGGACACTCATCGGTGTGCACCCACCAGACCATGCCCAACACGAACCAGCCATACCTGGGCGCGAGTTCTACGTCCCCCCGGCCCCAGCGGTGCGACACGCGCGAAACGCCGCGTGCCCTGCGCGGCCATGCGGGCTGCGCGGGCGACGGTCTGACGGTCTGGTGAAGGGCGCCCCACTGGAAGACTGCCACTTTCTTGCTCATTTGCCACGCCTGACTCACTCATTTTATGCGGCGAAGCGGGGTGACGCCAGAGTGTCGATCTGCATGTTTTTGCAGAGTCAGCGGTGTAAAAAAAAGCCGAGAAAGGCAGATGGTAGTCTGGAGGATTATGATTTCCAGGTGTGGTAAAATGAGTCAGACGAAAGTTCTGGTTTAGGATGTTGGGCTTTGTGCCGTTTGGTCGATCTGGCTTTCACCAAAAAACGTGCCATCCCAAGGCCCTGTTGTTCAGTAGGCGCAATGGACAGTTCCACCAAGGTATGCGCATGACCCAAGGACTCCCGTTCCGCCGCTCCATGCCGTTCACTCGGCTCTCTGCTTCGCCGGTACTCAGCTCTCCCGCTTGGGAGGAGGTCAATGAGGTGATCCACTCCTGGAAGTCGCCACTCGACACCTGCGAAAGGTGGCCAAGCGAGAAGGCGAGAGTCTTCTCTCAAACCGGGAAGAAAGAAGAAGACTACTAGTAACAAGAAGCTACTAGGGGCTCGTGGTCTTACTATATACTAGGAGCAAGGACGCTACTAGGGGCTCCTGGCATCGCTACTAGTAACAATAAGCTGAGAAGAAAAGGCACGCCCACCAGGAAGAAACCCCGACTGCTTGGTGCTTCGAACGACATGGGTGGAACGGACGACTGCTGGGTGGAACGGACCGGCCCTCTAGACCTGTGCCACGAAGGGCCATACGTACGACCCATCGTCCTACCCCATCTATTGGCTCTAATGTAAGTAACAAAAGACATAATAGCAACAAATAGTAAGATACAGTGAGTAACGATATTCCATACATGGATGCTCTGGGATGGGATGTGACCATTGGCCTCTTCAGTAGCCTAGCCTACGGCGCAGTAGCGCCTCGAAACGGCACAAACGGCACTCCCCCCACCTCCACGTGCCGCATCGTGTGCAGAAGTACCAAGCGGACGGGCCTTGGGCGGCCAAGCAGCAGGGGCCCGGGAGGCGAGAAGGGGCCCCCGGCCGCACTGACATGGGGGCATTAGTTCTCTGCATTTCGCCAGCACCCGGAATCAGGCTGAAGATGCTGGCGCCGCCATAAAAATGACATCGTTCTCTTTTGGGGGTTTGCATCTCTGAGCATGGAACAGTTGCAGCACCTGCAAGAAAGATTGAAGCAGCAGCCAACACCTCGATTGCAGGGATGAAAAACACGTGACCGTCACCCGTCTTTTTGCCCTCCCCTCAATTTTGGGTCGGCCTCAGTGGCCGATCACATGTGGCACAACTGGTCCAGTACAGCCATAGGAAGACCTCAGGCAGGCCAGAAAGATCAACCATCGTCTGCGAGTCGCTGCCGCCAGTGCTTCGATTGGCTTTGTCGCTTTCGACTCCCTCACGACCCTTCGGCGGCTCCCACACCATGAGGCGGCCGGGCTCCCGGGCTCCGCAGCTGGTGGCGGAGGCCAAGTTCCCCACCGCACCTGTGGGCCCCAGGCAGCTGAGCATTGCGCCAGTATCACAGGTCAGAGTTGGGATCCAACCCCCCCAAGCTGGATGAGAATGCAGTGGATGATGTTAAACAAACATGTCCATGTGAATGTACTTGCAAGCGGTGTCTTTTTTTCTTTCGCCACGCCAGAAGGGTCGGGTCTTTCACACCTTTTGGGCCTGTCCCACCATGCTGAGGACTGGGCTGAACCACGAGACGGTTCGTAGAAGGCTGGAGGCCGCGACGGGATTCCGCCGCACAACCTGCTCATGTGGCACCGGGGCCTCTAGTGCGAAGAGGGCATAGAAATGCATAGGGCCGGTGCTGGTCGACACATGAGCTAAGCTGTTCTCGACCTATGTAGGGATCTGTCCAAGACGCTGCAGTCCGACCAGTCTACCATGTTCGCTACGCTACACACGACCAGATCTTCCAGGATGGTCATGGCCTGTATCATCGGTCTCCCACGTCATCCCACCGCCAGGTGGACCGGGCGCGCAGCGCGCGCACCTCCACCAGGTTGTCCTGGACTGGCGAGCCGGTGCCGCTTCCGAAGAAGAAGCCATGGATCTTCTGCTTCACCTGACACCTCGAAGCAAACACCGTCGAGCTGAGCTCTCGGTGTGACGTAGCACCGGGAGCCCCCAACGAGAGACGTTGGAGAAGGCTGACGTTGGGCCTCAAGCAGATCTGCAAGACGTAAGAGATCCAAAAGAGAGACAAAGCTCCATGTTTGCTTGTGGATCAGACCTTGCATTCATTGTTGGCCTCAACTTTTCAGATGTGTTCAGGCTGATCTTTTTGGGCTGTGGAAAAAAAGGTCTCTGAAACGATCTGAACAAGTATCTGAAGTTTAAAAAAAAAAAACTCAAGAAATCACCTCAGCTTATGAAAACCGATAGATCGCATCTTGCTTAGATCTTCCATCTTGATGGGAGCCCGGACGTTTGGCACCGGACGGCTGGATTTGAGAATGTCGCAAACGTGTGGACTTGCCTCGTCACGTCAGAACTTCCTCGTTGACACAAGAGTGAGGAAAGCCTTCAAGCTCTTGAGTTTCTCCCTCCAAGCTCTAGACATTGCTGCAATCAAACGAACAGAAGGTTGGCAGAGTCTACAAGACTGTGCGGAGGCTCTTAAAACTGAGCCAGCTGGCTGGCAAAGTAAATACACTGTGACTGCAACGATGTATTGGGGTAGAATTGTGGAAAAAAATATGGGTGCAGCTGATGCAGACTGCGCAGCAATCACTGCAACAGAATGCAAAGCTTCCAACAGTCCACACTTTTTGCTGGGCGCATTTCACGCAAGCAACGCACTGTGCACTGCCCAACTCTGGCATGCACTTCCTCGAAGTGAAACCCTGTGTTTATAATTCCGTGACGTCTGCGCCACAGAAAGGGGGGCCATTTGCGGCATCTATTCACAAGAGCTACGAATTTGATGGAAGGAGCAGGCTGAAGCAAGTCGCCGGCACTCAGCAGGAAATTGAAAGCTTTGCTGGTCAGCTGCCAGCTGCATCGCCGAGGCAGTCTTTGCTGAAACATTCACTTGGCGCAGTCTTGGAGCTCTAAACTATTCTAAACTGCTCTAGAGAAATCTAAAGTTCCAAGATTCTGCTTATAAGCCTACAGCATCTGCTTCCAAAAAAGAACGAAACACAAACAGCTCTGGAACCTCCAAACCTCCAAAGGCCGCCTCCGACTGTCGGACCCTTCTGACTCGTCAGTGCAGGGCGGCTGGGTCCGGCTCGGCTCAACGTCGCCTCACCTGTGCAGCGGAACGACTGAGGCGATGCGCACGCTGCGGTGCCAGCGGTGGGTAGGGGTCGGATCTCAACTGGTTCTGGTTGGGTCTGCTTTTCCTGAAAAGATCAGAAGCAACAGGGACTGCATCTGACATGGAACGCAGTCCCTGGAAGTTCAGTTTGACCAAATTTTGACCGACTGAAGTAAAGGAAAATCCTGAGCTCAGGTCACCGAAAGATCATTTGTTTAATAGTCTTGGACTCCCAGGGTATACAAGAGCTGCAATTAGCACGATGTTTTACAGAAACAAAATAAGTGTGTATACTCACAAGTGCCAGAGTGCCAGGTATAGATGCTTCAATCAATTTCTTTCGATCAGCTGAATACGTCTGTCAGATTATCATGTTCAATGACTTTATTCCTGTCAATCCTGTATCCAGTGCGTCAATTTGATCTAATTATACATCTATCATCAATCATTCTCCTCTCATGTGTCCGCAAACCATGCCAGTCTCTTGACGCAACCCGACGCGGTTCCGCCGGTTCCGCCCAGGACGCGACTGGGACCCGCGCCGAACCCGCCAACTTGATGGTTTTGATCTTGTTGTGAATCTTATCTGCCATTGCTTGATACCTCACGCCGCGAAGAAAAAAAAAAGAAGCTTCTGTCTGCCACACCAAAACCGTCCTATCTGCCCCAACCCCGAACGATCCGTGCCCCTCCGTCGGCCGTTCTGGCCAAAACCTCGGGGCCGCGGCTTTTCCCTCTGGCTGTCCGGAAGCTCCGTGTTCTGAAGCTTCGTTAAAATCGACCTGGGCTCCGTCGGCCGGTCGACCGTTCGGCTCCGTCGCCGGGTTCGGCAGGTCGCCCCCGGCAGGTCTGTCAAACTCGGTGAATTCGCGCAGTACCCAGCGATCACCGCACTGGACCCACAAGCTTGTGGGTCAATGGACACCCAACATCCAACGCGGCGATCAATAGAAACCTTTTGGGTCCTGCTCTAGGCACTAAGCACCCGGCTGCAAAGTCTTGGTAAATTCTCCCAGAAGCTGAACCTTCAAAAAGCAGAGCGAACGCGTGATGCTGATGCTGCTAGTCCTCTTCGTGGCCCGCAAATAGATAGCACGGCTTTTTCATATACATGTTCTACGTGGAAATCTACGAACTTCTATTCTATTTGGGGGTCTCTATCCACGAACGCATCGCTTTTTAATGCCTTTTCTGAATCCCCGAGACTCGTTCAACTCGTTCCCAGCCTGTTGAGCCTCGGCACTGTGGCGGGGTGGCATCACATAGGGACGGGTGGATGGTACCTGCAGCGATGTGCATGCAGCGCCACCCGCCTCTCAGGCCCAGTGCCCCAGAAAAACCGGAGACAAGGCCAGGACTCGGGGCCTGAAGGTCCCAAAGCCAACACCTAGAACCACTTTTACTTGTTGCTTTACGTTTGTGTGTGTGTGTTTTTTTGGTAATAACCATACCACCCAATTCTTGAAAGTCTCTTTTCATGTCACACAAATTACAGCTCTTGTACTCTAAAAAATGTTCAATAGTTTTGTGTCTTCTGCACGGTACTTTTGCTGATGCGTCGTCATAAAGAGATTTTGCCATCGTTTACTTGTATCAATGTCTCAATCTCAAAACAAATCTTTCTGTGGACAACCCGTAGGGTACTAAACACCAAATAACGGGTTTTCATTGTCAGCATACATCTTTAATACATTACATATATCTGTTATATGTTATGCTACCTACCATTGTCAGTTTACAGTTCATTACAGTTCAATATACATTTCATTCATTATCATTGATAAGTGCAGTGCAATCATAGTAAATAACAGCTTCAATTAACTGAGCTATCAAATTGAGTCAATTCCTGAAATTGCGGCAATAACACTAAAAAGTTAATGTTAATAACTCGATCTGTACAACCTACCAAGCGGTTAAGCTACTACACAGCTTAGATTATGCTACTGTGCACGCTATGGCTTAATTAGCTCCCCAAGCGCATTGAGGTGAGCTTACCTGAGTTGCAATGAGTAATATGTAAAGGATCATTTCTATGAATGTTGTAATACTGATCATACATTTTTGACTTTGGGATTCAGGTGGAAAGCTGGTCTTCAGAAAACCCGGAGGAGCAGCTGTTTTGAGACGATCGGGTCGACCCAGGTTACCTCATTTCACAGTCATACAAATCAGGTATAACACCGGGTTTTACTTGGTCCGACTGGACCCCCAGGGAGACGATTCTCACTTTGAAACGAGCCCAACCCTATCCAACCCTGTTCGAGTTCTGCGCCGGCCTTTGACAGAGGGCTCTTGAGAGGACTCTTCAAGGGACTGCTAACTGGAGCGGGCGCCTGCCGTTGGGTCCAAAGCAAAAAGAAGTAATGACGCTGCCATCCGTCGTTTTCTTTCACCTATGTGTTCTTTTTAATGCTGTTTGTATAATGTTTTTCCGCAGCACATACACATACGATTTGCTAGATCGAAAGCCTATGGGTAGTCACTTGAACTTGCCTTGTCCAACTCTCTTTGTTCACACACTTCAAAGAAGGACTTCCTAGTCATCTCCTTAAGCAACCAGTTGGCTTTCGCTGGATTTCATGTTCTTCGGAGCTCCTCGGTTGGAAGGTGACCGGTGACTGGCATCCCTGGAAATTGCGACTGGTTCCTTCGCCACTTCGAGCTGGTGAACCACCCCGCTTTGGACCTGAAGCCCTTCGGACCCGCCTTGATGGCGCGAGCGCTCGGGGATGCATCGAAGTTGGGATTCGGTTGCAAGACCACGCGGCTCGTCACGGCCACGTGCGGGCCTCCGCGCGGCACGCGGCGAACGCGCGCCGGTGACGTGTTTCGGGTGAAGCGAGGTGACGGTGATGTTCCGCCGTGAGGTGTCGGGTGAACTCACATGGGAACCCTTCCGCTGAAGCTGAAAACGAACCACTTAGTGTTTTATCTTTTTACGGATTTTACTAAAACGAAATCTTGGACTTCCAGGGATCTTCAAAAAACCGCAGCTGTTTTTCGCGGCACAAGACCTCGGCTCTCTCCTTCCCTCCCTGCGCGCCTTGGCGGACAGTCTTTGGTCCGGCCAAAGCCTCAAAGCGTGGACGGTCGCAGGGTGGGGGCGGTCGAGCCGCAAGGAACTGTTCGGACGTCTACACGAGCGCTGCAGAGTGTGTTCCGAGACGTGTGGAGGAAAAATGGTATATATATATACTACTATACATGTTATTACATCCACAAACGGTGCGAATTGTTTGATGCAGCAGAGTGTTTTTTTCAGCAGGGTGAACAAATGAACAGCTTGTGTTCGTTGATGGTCATAACATGTCATAACACCAACCAGGATAGCAGTCTCGATTCGTACCCATCTGCTGGAGGCTCCAAATCACCAAGCTATACAGGTTATACTTGGTGGTTGGAGCTCTGATGATCTTGCTTGCACCACCAGAGGTGACCTGGCTTGAACGGCGACCACCGCCTGTCGAATGGGGACCTCATTGAGTGGGATTTTGACCTGCTCCCCATCTCTGCAAATGGCACCGCAGTGTGTTTGTAGTTTGTACATCTTCCATGGTCCTGCCTCAGCACTTTTAGCTGCCAGGCGTACCATCCTGCAAAAGGCACCCAAAAGGTCGACGCCTTTTCGGTCGGATCCAATCCTTTCTCCATTGGTCCATGTCTCTCCTCATCTGTCCTTTCCATATCTCTGCTCATGTCATGTATTCACCAAATCGATGTCTTCGTGGAACGCCTTTCAAGATCACATCGCACCACGGACGAGGTTCGCGGCGAAACGGGGCGACACCGGTCCCGTTGTTGAAGTCCACCGGCCGTTCAGCACCTGCTGCGCGGAGTGGGGTTCGCAGGGTTGCCGTGGTGGTGGAAAAAAGAGGATGGAACAGGAATCCCATACACTCCGTGTGTGCCATATATGCCTATAGATTGACCCCCCCTCGTACTACCCCTGGCCTGATCGGCATGTATGGCAGTCCCTTTAGTCGTGTCTGGGAATGGAACCTTCGATGGTTTGACGACCGGTGGAAGATGTCGAACGATCCTTTACGGCGATCGATCTTTTTAGGGGAAGAGTTGCTTTCTACGTCGAATTTCTAGACAGTTAACGTGCCGTCTACCACATACCATGGTGCTTCGTCGTCTTGTCGTCTTTGCCGCGTCGCCAGCCCTCTGACTCTGGTCTTTTCGTTCCGAACCGGCGGATCGAAGGAAGAGTTGACGGTCCATGTCTTGTTCTACGAGATGCTTCCCGTTCGTTGTTGAGACGGTGTCGCTGGTTGGAAAGGGCTGGCATATATTGGACGCAGATGGTGATTGATCTGACGATCTGGCCTTTAAAACATGTAGATCAATTGTCAATTGCCCCAATGGGCGGCAAATGTGCCATGTCCATGGATTGTTAGGGAAAGCTTTCAAGTAAGAAGATGATGGAAGGGTCTTCTGTTCAAACTCCATCTACCTGAAGACGCCCCTAGTATCTTCTTGGTTTAAATGGGGCTGTGCCATTCTTGGCCTGTTGGCGCACTTCTTGGCTTCAGTGGCCTCGGAGTGATGCCCAGCGGAAAGGAAGGACGGGTTGTTCTCCGCCAAACGGTCTTTCGAGAAGACCATTAAAAGAGTTCGGTTTGACCTGTTTTTTGTAGCCTAAAAGTCCTGAGTACACTGGAATTCAGCACCTTTCAGTTTCTCACTCGTGAGAAAGCCCTCGTGGTCAATGAATCTGCACTCTACTCATTTGGCTGCCGTTCCTTTTAGACTGCCTTGATGGACCTACTCATTGACAAGAAGTCTACCGGTTACCCCCCCCCGCCGGGGACTCCCGACCCTGAGAAGTGAAGCCAGTGGTTGGACGGGGGTCCATGTTACACTCCCGAGTCAACTAACATAGACCCTGACGTCCTGGCCTTGGGTCCGAGTGTGAAATCCTCTACCAACCAGTGGTTTTCAGGGTCCATGGGATCGTCTTCCAGGGTGTAATCAGCATGGGAGTGAAGAACTACGTGCTTGGCTTCCCCCCATGCGGCACGTGCGCTTGATCGAAGAGCGACTGCCCACCAGGGACGAAAGACCACTTGCACTCCTGCAAGCAAAGCTCTGAGGCTGACATCTGATGTCCAGCTTCAGATTGACATAGATTAGCAAAACATAGCAAAGCTCATCTAGATCTGGCTCAGACTTGCAAGAACCGAAACTCATCCAACAGCCTCGGCTCCGTCGCGACGGAGTCGCCACAGAAGACCTCAAAGAAAGGATCGGTCCTCTACCCATCTCACGAAGGATTGAAGGAGTGCCTGCAACGCGCCATGACAGAGGTGGGAGCACCCGTCAGTCGCGCTCGTCATGCATCAAAGGCTTGACAACGTGCACTGTGCACTAGTTTCTTGCTGGGAGCACTCTACACAAAGACACCCCATCCAACCTACATTACAACTATAACCTTTGAATTTGGTTAGAAACAAAATGACTATCTCATAGTGGCACAGGAAAGCATCAGCAAGACCTGCAAAGACTGATGGAATTGCAGGATAGAGATCTCGGATAGATCATGATAGATCTTGGAATAGTTTGCAGGCCTTGTCAGAGAAGAATGCCTCTAGCTCGCCCGACAAATGGTCAGGACCTGGCTCCGATTTCGACTGAAGAACACTCACAGCCACAACTCGCAGCACAACTTGCAGCCTGACCTTTGTTCATCTGGGCAAGGACTACGATGTACTCTGCCAGGACCTTGCAGCATCAAAAGACCGCGAAACAAGTGCCGCGGAAAAAAAAAAACAGCCCCACAACAGCTTTCCAAAGACACGAACGACAAACGCCCCAAAGTCGTGTCATAAAGTGGCAACTCAAAGGAAACTGAATCATATTCCTGCAAGAAGTCTGGATCGTTGCAGGCTTTGTACACGGCTCCCATGCACAATGCTCCAAATACCGCTCTTCAATTTGTTCACCCTTCCTCCACCTGTCTCTTCATTCCTTTTTTCTCACTGTTTGTCTTCCACCTCCCCTCCCACCTTGGGGTCCACATCCTTGTCGCACAGTGTCCGTAGCCGCTCCAGCACCGCATCCTGTAGACCCATCTGATCCAGCTCAGAGAGCTCCTGAGAGGCGTTCGGTCCGGCCGCTTGGACGGAGAAAGCAGCAAACAAAGCAAGTGTCGAAGGAGGGAAGGGGAAGAAGAACAACAAATGGGACATGGATGGTTGGGGGGGTTGGGGGAGGGTCTCACCCAGCTTTTCTGCTGCCATTGCCCGCCATCAATTCCAGAAGGAGCCTCCTTCTTCAAGCAGTTTCAATCTGATTCTTTGATTGGATCCTATGTGGCAAGAAAAAACAAAGCACATAGTCAATACTTAGTTCTTGTGCATCTAGGTGTAGAACTCGATCTACTTGGAGAATTCCGAATCCTATCTGCACTATCAAATCCCCCATACCTTGTGATCTACCAATAGATCCGACGTTGCTTTCCCCCCTTGGAAGACCCACAGATCCCGACCCCAGCATGGGTCTAAGGACTCCACTGGCTGTGCAGCGGGTGCAGCCTAGGACGTGGATTCTCGGTCGGACTGCCAGTGGTCACGGAGTGTTCCCATGAGGCCATGTAGAACCTGATGGGTCTATCGGTTGATCCAAATCTCGGATCTGTTGGAATCTCTCCCTTCCATTCCCTTCCCCTTTCACTCTCCATCCGAAAAGAGAACACCTCCCACACCTCTCCAACACCTCCACCGAGTGGCCGCCGGCGTGACCACCTGCACGGCCTCCACGCGCTTCGGCTTCGGCTTCTCCGGCGGGGGCTTCTTCACCTTCACCTCGGTTGCCGCGGGTGCGAACCGCACCTAGGACCACGTGCGTGGGCCCGCGTGCATCAGAAAGGAGACTGATGAATGGTCTCTGCTGGATCAGCTGTTGACTGAGTGGAAGGGGCCCAGGCTTCACAAAGCGCAGTCTTGTGCTCTTGTGCATCAGTTTTGCTAAGACTCGGCTTAACAAAGCTTGTGAAGGCTCAACAAGGCCGCGAAGTGGAGTATGGTAGTTGTCCACCGTTTGTCTGCTTGTGGCTGACAACAAACTAAGCCGACAGCAATAGAACTCGCGAAAATAGTGGCAACAATGGTGGTTGCGGTGGCTGCAGCAGTGGTAGTAGCAGTAGCAATAGCGGAGTAGTAGGTTGTAGGAATGTTAGTATTAGAAGCTTGGAGTAGTAGTGAAAATGGGTAAGATCCAAGGCAAGAAAAAGGAAAAATAGAAACATCCCATATCTGTTCACCTTCCCCTCGGCTTTGGACTGGAGCCGGCGGAGCTTCGGTCTTCTTCGCTTTGGTCGGCACGCTGGAGCCGTCGTTGGCCTTCTTGGCCTTTGCCTTCACATGGGAAGCAGCGGGAAGGAAGCGCGCTAGGATGCGCTCTGAAATCAATCACAAGAGCAAACCTCATTGCAATGACGTTCCGTGCCCAAAATATGTTAAAATGAACTATATAAACAATATACTCTAAAATGATAGCAACGTTGCCATATAGTGTTTGTTTGTTCAATATGTTTTCCCCCATGATCATGTAATTCATGAATGATATGATGATAGTCCTCAAGGAACGCATCCTTCGCATCGGTGGCCCGGTGTGTTCGCGATGGACTCAGGCTGCAGCCGGCGCGAGACTCGCTGCTGGTGGGGCAGCTCGCTTTTTCACCTGTCCGGCGTGGGCGTCGCGGCCAACGAATCTAAACCACTCAATCAAGTGGCCCAAGAAGGATCAAGGTGGTAGGTGCTACCTGATCCAAGGCATGCGTGTTCGATCGGAGTATCCGCACCAAGTCACCCAAGACAGAATTGGGCGGTGCTTTTATGCGGATCCAATTCGTGGAAGTAGGACTCTATCCTTCGAGTGTGGTAGCCTTCGATCTTCTCAACATGCTGTCGACAGTCGGACTGACCCCCTCCAAAAAAAAAGGAAAGCAACAAGTTTTCCACGGCCTTTGTCTCTTTTTGCACTGCCTGGCACAGAAAGCCATGAGTCAATTCTGCCCATCTTAGCATGCTTGGCCCCGGGTCGCCACCCCCGCCCCTCGGCGCGAGTGGCTCGACCAAACGAGGGGTCGCGACTCGCGAAAAGCGCACAGTAGGGCGAAGATCGCCAGCCGTCAGGGCGAACAGGTTTGGTGAAATGGGAATCGGAGCAAATCTGGCTCTTACCTGAGAAGGGGGGATGAAAGCCAAGCCAAGCCTATCGCCTGGCTTTCGAAATAACATCGTACAAATTCATACTTTGGTGTCTGGATATGTTTGGTGTCTGGGGGTGTCTGGTGTCTCGTGTCTGGAGACCCAAGTATCTCAAAGCGTTTTTCAGTGCCAACCCCTGCGACATCGGGCCTTCTTTGGCGATGCAGCTTTCGGCCTGCCCGTGCTGCGTGTGCCAGCGACCGTTTGGGAGGCCCGAACTGCGGACGTGGTTCGGCCCGGTGACGACCCGGCGTTTCGTGCGTCCGGTCCGGCCTCTTCGTCACCTTTGCTGGTGTCACCTGGTGTCACAAGCCAGCAAGAAAAATGAACAAATTATAAAACTACTTCACTTCGAGTGATCCGAAATCCATGACATTTCAATCATTGGTTTTCATGGCGGGGAGCGGCTTACATCAAGCAGTACAAACAGTACAAGCAGTACAGTCCTCTTACGCACTGTCCAAGGCATGCCACGCCACGCGCAGTCCTACCGCGCGCGGGGCGCCGTGGCGTCCCCCCACCACGGCCAGCACGGGCGAGGTCGGGCTCCGCGAGTCTGGGCTGCTACTCCTCGCAGAGCAGATGAGTGGAGGGGAGGTTGGAGGTGTCCCGGCAGCATGGGTTGCGGTTGAAGGGGTGGGGACTGGCTAAAGGACGGGCCAAGAAAAAGGAGTGGGGACCGGTTTACAAGATGCAGAGGATTCACTGTGTTCAAGACCACTACTGTGGGGATCAGAGTGAACATACTTTACTTGTTGGAATGTTCAAGACAGGTTTGGACCAGGATTTGCTCTTCTATCTGTTTTGGGGGTCCTATAAATGTAATATAGATAATATATATATATATATACGTATATAGAAGCTTTGTGGGTTGAAGTGGATCTGCCGACAGGCTCCCACACAGGTCTCTAGCTTAAAGGGCTCACAGGTGCTCCTGTTCATGTTCGGCCGGTGATGTTCACTGCGCTCAGGCCATTCATTGGTGCAGAACCCTTATACCCCCTAGTGATCCACGAATCATCAATTTGTTGTTTGCAACTCACCCCCTTTGTCTTCCCCCTTTCTCTTCCCTCCGTCCAGAAGAAGAAGAAGAAGGCATCCATCAAATTCTTGTTGATTTCTCTTGCCTTATATATAATATAGTATTATAATGTATTATTATGTATTATATAGTACCATCATTTACCATCACACCCCCACAGGTTTTCTCCACTCCTGCTATCGCTGGAGGAGTCAGACTCGCTCTCCGCGGGCTGTCGACCTGCCGGTGAATTGGATGTCCTTGCCTTTGGTGGAAGAAGAGGTGTGCATAAATAGGGAGGATGGGCCACATATTTGGCCCAAGATGCATCCAGTCATATCCAGTCCCTGTCTCAAGAGAATGTGCCTCCTCCGAAACACTCCCCCCCCCCCGGGCAGTTGGAGACACTCGGAGCCAGATCCGGGAGTCAGATCCGGGCAGTGGCGGTTTCAGTCTGCTGCAGAACACGAAGGAGCCAGATCTCGCCCGGCCTTTCTTTGAAGTGTTCGTCGAGCCTTTTCGGAGCAGTGGAAATGAATAGAAGACCAATGGTCAGGTGGGTTGGGATGGACCCCTAAGAGGGAACCCCAATACGTATTCATGTCAACGGTCAACCTGAGGTTGACCTGAATGTTTGATACTCTACGTGAGGGTTTGCTATTTGCCATCATACCTGCAAACAAGCATGAGTTTGCATCTTCTGCCAACGCAAATGCCCAGTTGATCTGCAAAGGGAACAAAAAGGGAGATTCCAACATTCTGAGGAGCGAGCTTTGCTTCACTCGTACTGAAACCTTTGGAGCCTGTGCATGACACAGTCGTATCGTCGGCGGCCATGTCGGCTGGTTACATCACTGGGCCTTCTCAGGAACGAGAGGTTTTTGCGGCTTCTCCTGGAGTTAGTGAAACTGAAAGCCAACAGGAACACGCTCTGCTTCATGTTTCTTGGCGGTTCAATTGAACTCGAGAAAATGACTAATCAAACAGCTAGGGTAGCTGGGGCGCGCAAGCGCGCGCGCGTGCCTGCTTCTCCACCTGGCTTCTCGCGATGTGAACGACACTCACCCGCTGCGCATGTACAACTTTACTACTCAAGGAGCATTCTGAGAGTCTGCAGTAGCATCAAAGCTGCAACAAAAACATCAGGCATGCCTGCACGTCGGCGCGCTCTGTGTTAGAGCCTCCGACAGAGTTGAATGATGTTGAATGGGAAGATCACCTTAACACATCTGGTTGAGACTCATCACGTCGTGGCCCACAGCGCTGTCGGAACCGATCGCCGGCCCGCTCCTAGGCGTGGAGTATCTGTACGGCCATGTCCAAGCCATTCCAAAAGGCGGCCTCGAGGTTCGTGGTTTTTGTGGCGTGTGCGCCGCTCAAACATGCGAAGCAAGCGAAACTGAAGTGAAAGATGGAGGAAATGGTGCTGAAGTGGTGATGTCGGGAGCTTCAACCCCTCCATGTGCGCATGTCTCTATAGAAATCTACTGGGAACCTGCCAGTGGGACCTGATTTGGGAAGGTAGATGAACAAGTCCACTAGTCCAATGGGGCTCAGATGGTTGCAGAATCTTCAAACCATCCCATGTATAGCTCTTTCCACTGCTGTCCACTGCCTGCTGTACCGCCAGGAATGGGAGCTGGTTTTGCTCGAGCAACTTTGGCGGTTGGCTTCACAGCAGCACGACCTTGGGTCGGGAAGCTTCGCGGTGCTTGGCGGTTGGCGCAGAAGTCACCAAAGAGGGCCTTCTTTGGAGGTGTTGGGTGGCTTACCTAACCATGTATCAGAACAAAGCACGCTTATCATCATACCTTCTGCTCTTCTGGGGCCATCTTGTCTCTTGTTCTTCTTTCACCGCTGCCCCTCCCTCTCGCTCGGTGCTCCAACCTCGCTCGGCCGCAGCCTGGCCAGTGTCAGACTCAACAAACAGTCTCTGGACAGAGTGATTGATGTTCCCCCATGGTTTGGAGAGATCCCGCAGGATCAAACTTGGACGAAACCTGAACCACTGCTGGGAGTTAACCACGAAAAACTGGGTGACCTTGTGTTTGCGCGAGTAAAAAACCTGAACCACAGCTGGTGACTTCATGTGACTTGGCACTTTCAGGATCCACAAACCTCCCACCGGTGGGCCCCGCCTGCTGAGCTTTCACCAACACGACCTTGCGTTTCTTCTTCGCACGTTCTGGGCTGGCAGAACGCTTGTTGCCTGGACAACGTGAAACCGGTGAGCGGAGCCGTTGATGGCACCAGGACCTTTGAGTATGGCTTAATGTCCTTCCAAGCCAACCACGACCTCTCCAATTCATGGGGTTGCGTGCTCCGAGCTTCACACGAGCCATCCGGAGGCAGTTGCCAAACCGGAGGAAACTGAGCCCACGCGGCCCAAGCCAGAACAGCTGCAGCACGACGCATCTCGCCTCACACAAAGCAACAACTCCGCCAAAGGTACTGTACTAGGAACACCAAAATCCATGACTTTCCGCTGTTTGAGACAATCATATTCGATGAACTTGTGGTTATCAGGCCATTTGCGCTCTACCCTTGACCTAGCGAAATCGTTAAGCGCAGCGTCAGCTTGGAAGACCATATTTGTTTACTTTGTTGGAACTCCACTGTGCCAGGTAGCAACAAGATGTTTGCAATAAAACGGTTTCTTTCAAAAGGCCATCAATGATCAGACCAGCTCCACCGGATGATTCCACATAAGTTGGAGCTAATGTATGTAAGCTTGCAAACGATAATTCAGCAATGGCGCAGGTTTTCCTTCGCTAGGGATCGTCTGTTTGCAGCAGCTTTTGCCAGGCTGCATCTGCCAAAAGACTGTTGGCCTCCAGCCAACACGAAAAATAATGGCGCACTGAGAGACTGCCAAGTTTTGCGCGCGCTGTGCGCTGCGCTGGCTGTGCGGCTGATCATGTAGGGGGGGTTGGCTGATGTGAATCTGCTTGGAAGTCTCTCAGAAGTTGTCAACAAGAGTTTGTACAAGTCTCGGAAGTGCTGAAATGCTGGGCAAGGCCAGCAGATCTAAGCTATTCTGTGGCATTCCTGCCACGAATCCAGGGTCCAAAATTCGCCTCCCTGTCTTTCTACACTCCACTTCTCATAGAGGGCATCGATGAACATCAATGCCTCGCAAATCATGTCGCGGAAGTCACATCTTCGTTGTCATGTTCATGCCGCTGCTGCCATCGATTGGGCGTCGAGTCGATCGGAAGCCAGCCTGCTGGAGGTTCACTAGCAGAGTTAATTGAGATTCCAGAGCTTTCCTGCGCCACGTGGGCCGCGTGTCCGAGCTGAGACGTGCGGCACGAAGCAGCTGACGAAGCAACATCATCTGTGGAGGGGGGGGGCATCTCTGCATGTTTTGGAAAAGGGAGAGACCTCTCCCTTTGCAGCCTTTTCCCTCCCCCAAAAAGAACTCAGCAGGTCTTACGGACCTCATGTCACTGGGTCTGGTCATACAAAAGCAGTACTCAATGGGATTAGGGACCAGGTTTTACTTGTTCCTTGGACTGGTAGGGAAAAGTCCTTGGTTACTCGGCACAGGGTCCCTGAAGAGATCCTCCCACACATAGACGGATACGGCCCGAGGCTTTTTGAGTTGAGTGGGGAATCTCCGTCCTTCCAAGTCCCTGGGATCAAAACACTTAACTGTGACCTCAATAAGACCTCTCCAACGAAATGGGTCACCGCGGTCACCGGTCATGACCAGTACCACCTGCTCGGTCCCGGACTGAAAAGCAACATGAAATGAATGGATCAACGACGGGTGGAGTGCAAGTTGAGTAGTAAACACCTTGCTCGCCACGTTCGCGGTCCTTCGTAGGAAGTAGCCGGCCGTCGCACCACCGGAGCTGGCACGTTGCTCTCGCCGGAGTGCAGTCAAAAACAGACCATCTGCTGGGTGCTTTGGAGTCGTAGCAGAATCGGCCCGTTGGCTGGAGTTTGTCAACTAGACTATACCCCCTGCAAGTCCCAGACCCAGACCATTTTTCAAAAGGGTCCACCTAGGTCACCCGAAACGGAAGGTCTTTGACTTCGGGGCCCGGGGACAGCACCCAGCTCAAGTCGGACTCCACCAAGGCACCGAGGCACCGATTCGGCCGAGGCCGCGAAGCCGGCGGCCAGGGGTGTAAGGTCCAAAGTCTGAGAGGTCCAAAATGGATTGGTCATGAATGGACCAAAGTCTGAGACTTTCTCATGGTCCACCTCCAGAAGTCTGACAGGTCTCGTGAATGGTCCATTTGGGACCTCTCGTGATCGCTCGCTTCATGCTCCAAAATCTGTGCAAAAACAAATTTGGGGGGGAATGGTCATGAATGGTCCAAACAAAATCGCGTCTCCATGGGAATGGTCCAAAACGTTAGAAACAGTTCCATCCATCACGTGAGGTGGAGATGGGGAAAGACGCAAAAAAAGACCTGGAAGGACGTCCAGATCTGAAAGTCCATTCATGTTTGCCAACATGGTATATCGTCCTTCTACCAACAGTCACAAGCATCCCACAGTCACTGACATCCGAGGAAAGCAGTCTTCGAAAGATCTACCCCACAGAAATCCAGGAAAAAAGAAGCGATCAATCTGTCAATCCTGGTCTAAACCTCTGTTGGTTTCATCCTGATGTTGAGAATGAAGCTGCAGGCGCACTTAATAATTGTTGGATAGCAAAAGAACATCCATCCCAGCTCCAAAGGCCGTCGAGAGCGGGGCAAAATCGTGGCCGGTTTGAACTCTGCCGTGGCTGAATGGTGTATCCAACAATGGCTCCCTTGCCCTACCTTGCTTCTTGGGTGTTTGCCTTCCCAAAACAGGCCAGAGGGACTCTCTTGAGGAAGGCGTGCAAATGACAATGCCGATGGACTTGTCCTGCACTTTCGGCATTTCAACAAAAACATCCACAGACATGGTTCGGCGCACGCACCGAATCAAAATGAAATGGGTGTGTTCAAAAGAAAATTCACATGGCCACCCCTTTTGATCATGCCTTTGTCTGTTGAACCATCCAAAAATACAGTAGATCAGTAGATCCAACAACCCTGGACCCTGAAACTCTTGAGATTTGGGGGTCTTCCCCAATCGCCCCGTCGCTCACCAGTCCAGTCGCGAAGCAGCGCTGTCGGTACAACATCGTTCCCCAGACTCAGTCCGCCATCGCTGAGATCACGTTTGGTTTCTTCTGCGTGACCTCGCTCCGCGGCATCGTGGAGACTTGCCCACGACGGCGTTGCTCGGGGGTCTCAGATCTAGGCATTTCTAGAAAAGCCCTACAGTACTTATACAGTAGATTACAGTAGTATTTATAGAGTGGTCAGAAAAGGATCTTAGCTCCAGCCCCTTTTTTGGGACTTCTGATCACACTTTCCCAAGGCCAGGACTGCATTTGCCAGTGTGCTGACGTTGATGCTGGCTCCCTTCCGCTTGGGTGCGTTAGCCTGTCGCGTCCAAGGTCCAGCCAATGGTGGAGCGAAATTCCGGGTAACCCCTACTTGTCCTATTCCACCACAACAAATTAGATGCAATCATGATGAATCTCAGTTGAAAGGTCAAATCCCAAGTGATTGGCTGTTCTCTCAAAAGACACCAGCCACCAGCACTCCAGCAGTGCCTCTATGAATGAGGCTGTCCCAGTGGTTCCATAGATCCTTAGCACATCCGGTGAAAGAAATCCGGCGTCGCTGCGAAATTGACAGCGGCGGCTGGCAAACATGAGCATGTATCGGGTGCAATCCATCCAGGATAAATCAAATAGTTATCGCACTAAAGACGATTTCTTGTGCAGTAGGTAATCCCTCCTTTTTGAGACAACCCATGTTCTGCTCGGAAACAACCGATCAACGGGGCGCCCTACTTGTACCCCATCTCATCCAAGAAGGGCAGGTACTTCAAAATGGTCTTCTTGTCCTCCTGCAGTAGCAGCTGTATGACTGTGTGGTGAGTCGTGGCAGGAGTTGCACATCAATCATGAGACTGTGCTGATGTTTTGCCACTCAAAGATTTCTGGCTCGGGCCTGTGAGCCCAAGGACAACAGGATCCTGGCTCAGTCACTCTTGAAGCACCGAAAATCATTCACGAGTTCTGCTGACCAATGCCATCAGTTTGTTTCACTAACGAAATGACCATCAAATGAGCGGAGGGTCAAAACCTGGTACGGTAGCTAGTATATGTACCACAATTCCTGCTCAATATCCTGTTCCGAAACTGGGTTTGGACTCCCTAAATACGTGCCAGGGAGCACCCACAAGGCTCGAAGAAGACCTTGACACCACTCGCGATCAACGCCTTGAGGAATGCCTCTGGAGTAATTGGCCAGCATGGCTGATGAATCATGGGATGCATCGAGTGATCTGGTTTTGTAGTGTAAAACCCTTAGGTAAAACAATGGTGCTTCGACTTCTAGGGACAAGAGAAAGTGTCACAGCTAGGACCGGCTTCCGGATGTTGTTTTTCTCCTCGTAATCTCTCCTTTGAAGGTCGACAAACTCCTCGCCAGTTTGCCTGTGTTCATCTTCATTGCCTTTGCCCGCGACTCTTGCAACCAACATCATTATTGTCATCACCATTGCATTTGCGGCCCCCAAGGTAAGGTGCGATAGAAATGCAAGGATATCCCAGAAAAGGATACAAACAACATTGATCAGTGGCAAGAAAGTGTGATGTGGTACGGACATCTCTTTGTGGCAAACACCAGTGCGCCGTACGCCTCATTGGCATTCTGCCCAAAGCATGCCACCTGAAGCACTGCGCTGCAGAAGCCACAGGCAAAAAGGTGAGAAACGATGACATGTGACATGTCCTATTTCCCATGAGAAACATCTCTCTTCTTGCAATCATTCCATGAATATCTATGAATTACAACTCAATGGACCTCAGTTGCAGCCCCTCTCGTTGATCTCGCTCATCTCAGAAACAAACCAGTCAGCTTCACCGCCTCCGTCTAGCTGCTCGGTAGCTCCCCGTCTTCACCCGTCCTTCCGGACGAACCACCCAGCCACCCCGCTGAAAGCAGAACACGCCTCGCCGGTGCTCTGCATCTCGACGCCCACGTGCGGATCCGATCCACTGAGCCGTTGGAAGGAAAACATGGGAGCCTCGCGGAGATCCGAGACCCCGAGCCGCCGAGCGACCCGAGCGACCGAGACCGAGCTAAGCCGCGGGGAAAGGCAAGGACGGACCCCGGAAACAGACCTTCTCCCAAAAGGGGAGAGCCAAACGACCTGGTTTTCCGCAAGGGTCACTGAACTTCCGGACCCGAAGCAAATTTGTATGGGTTTTCAGGGACCGGGAAAGGCCTCGTGGGAGCCCTTGGTGGAGCGGATTGGGTGGCGAGGATTGGGTGGCAATTGCCCGGCGAAGAGGGGAAGACAGAAAAACCCGGGAGGTGTGGGTGACCTGTTGGAGGTGAGCTATAGAGCTATAGAATTCTATCGATCGAGTGAGTTGTCCCCTGGAAAAAACGTGTGTGATTCAATCGAGGTAAAGGGAAAGCTCGGATTCAGAACTTGGGAAAATGCGCCAAGGCCGGGTCATCGTCTCTGCGCTGGGTCCCCAAGTTTCCAGGTGTTGCCTCGCCTTGCAAGAGACAAACTGGAAATCATAGACATAGACGGGTGCAGGTCTGACGTCCTACCAAGCGCTGAATTGCAGTGCTGTCAGAAGCTGTCAGAACTGCGGTTTTTTGTGGAACACCCCCCGGCCTGTCTGGACATGGTCTTGGCACAGGTGCTTTGTTGTTGTTTAATGTTTGTTCATTTGCGGGAGTTGTAAACAGATGTAAATGGTAAAGACCTGATCAACCCAGAGCTTGTGGGGAGGAAATTGAGAAGCAAAACAAATTGCCTTTCCTTGGCATCTGTCCTGCTTCAGCATAACACGAGTGGCAAGCTCAATGAAGTTCACATTCAGCGTCTTGGATACGAAGGGTACCTGGAAACGCTTTCGCAGTGTCCACCAAATAAACTGTCAGCAAGCCATTGAGGTCAACGTACATCACAAAATCACAAATGCGCGAAACAGTTTAGGAACCCCGCCTTGAACCTGCTGCTGTGCATACAAACTTGCTATCTGTTCAACAAAAACGGTCTGCCCTACTCGCTCCTTCGATCACCTGTGGAGACACCGGAATGCAAGAAGAACCAACACTGCAATTGGGCGGGTGGTCGTTTCCCCGCACTTGAGGACATCAAAGTTCGACCAAAACCGTGGGTGACTTGCTTAGTGTTTTCGGTGACTGGACCCCTCCGTCTCGCTGAGAAACGCGATACGAAGGACCAAGTTGATCAAGTCCGGGATTTGGTGCAAAGCCGGGTCTGGGGCCCGCACGGTTCTGGAGGCTCTCACATTGCACTCGATGACTTTGAGCGTTCGCATGGAACTGCAGGAACCTTCCTGCCAGTGGAGCTATCCCATCACCAAGTGGTGGTAATATCTGGTCACATGTCCCGGCTGACTCTTGAAGCCGTGTCCGTTTTCGTGGTGGTCTGGTTTCGAACCTCTAACAGCCTGCTCATCTGAGGGGTCCCAAGTGTCCCAGCAGCTCCAGATCTAAAAAAAAAGACGCATTTTCGGCGAAGAGAAAGTGAGAAGTCGGTGAGAAGCCGCCTGCGCCATGAACTGCACATTAAAGGGGCCCGAAATGTTGAGAGCTTTGCACCTTTCACAGAAGCATCCAATTCCAAAGTCGCTCAACATGGACATGGATGCAAAACGCGTGTCTCGAGGGCTCAAAAGGCACAGGCCATGAGGTTGTGAGAAATGGAAAGAGTGATCTAGCCGCCTGTCTTTAAACTGAGATTTCTTTCAATAATCCATCTTGACGCATGTTCAGCCACTTTGACACGAAGGCTGACTCATCGTATTTCTTCAACATCTCCATATCTCCTCCGGTCTGAGCTCTGGGCAACTGGGCAGCCACATGCATCACCCGGCGATGCGTTTCCAAGTAGAGACGCTGGGATGGGAGGAGCAACGTGGCATCGCCACTGTGAGTGCCAGCATCCTGATCACGGCGACCCACGCAGGAGGACCCACCAACCGGGCCGCCCGGATCCAGAACGACCAACGAGACGACCAACGAGACTGGCCCTGGCACTCTGAAACTCTGGGACCCGGCGAGTTTCAAATCCAATCAAAACAAATATATGACATGTACCTTCAGTCTATCCCATTTACATCCATTTACTAGTAACAGTGGATGATGATGCTTCAGTTGCAGGCCTTTCTCTAAAATACAGTATGTGTTGCATTATGTGGTGATATTGCATACCCACTGTTAAAGGACGTATAACGTATTACCGCAAGAAGGCATGGATCTCCCTGAATCTCCGCCTCCACGTGTTCGGAGATGGCATAGTTGAGGACTTGCCCATCGCGGCCAATGCCATCAAACTCGATCTCCCTGCGGTTCGGAGGGGAACGGCGACCCGTCGCCGAACGCATCCCTGGACGTTTCATTCGGAGGGGAACGGTTCCTGCATGTGGACCCAACGAAACTGGGTTGCCCACACGTGCCCAAATGGGCAGAGAACGATGGCCATTAGGAAAGAGTCGGTGAAAGAAGTGGTGGTGGCGAACGGCCCCATCCGCCTCGCACCCTCGACATACTTGGAAATCACCACTGGGAACTCCTGCTCCACCTGCGTGTTTCAGGCACGAACAGAAATACACAACATTCTGACTATGAAAGGCCAAACCGAGCATCTGCAAAGTTAAAGGTTGAATGAACAGCACTTTGCTTATCGTCCCTTAAGATGAGACTGGAACAAGTTCAAGCCAACCCTTCCTGGAATCTGCACGACTTGGGTCTGGTCATCTCTTGTAGACTTGATTCGGAGGCCAGACTGCAGCACAACATATCACCCATGAGCACTGTAATCAACTCTAAAGCTTGGTCACCCCGCAACAGCTGAAGTGCCCAGGAATGCTTTCAGTTGATCCTGGACACCAGCCGCTTTTGGAAAAGGCACTGTTCAGCCTCTCAATCACTCTTACGACGGAACACAATGTCAAAGCCTCAAAGAAGTCGTCGCCTAAAGCCATGCACGTCTTAAAACGACTGGGAAATTGGACTTCGACTCAACTTCCTCTCATGAGTCCAAGAATCTCTAGCCCGATTTCAAGACAAATCTCTCAACCCCCTCAGAGCCCAGAGCAATGACCCGGGCCTCAATGTCCAGCCCAGAACTCTAACTAAATTGGTGCAGGTCTTTTGCGTCTTCACATCGCTGTCGCTGTTTTCTCCACGTCCCCATTGTCGTTTCTTCCAGTCCATGGAGAACCGTCGTCCTCGTTGTCGATCACCCGCATTGCCGCGCCCGAGAGCACGTAGGAGGGCCGGACGAGCACCGGGAAGCCCACCATGTTCGCAAAGCTCAGCGCTTCCTGCCACGTGACGTGCGCTGGCGTCCCGAAGGTTTTCGCTGTCAAAGAGGGCACTACCCGTCACTATACCGTCACTACATGGCGTGGAAGATGGGGTGTGTTGCATAGCGGCGGGTCCACGGTGGCATCACTAAGGAACTGTGGAAGATCTTCAATTTCTGACATTTTCTGACCCCGACACGACAAGAGATACCTTACGACCGCCAAAAAAAGAACACGCAAAATTAATCACACGTCGTGTCTCTCTCTGGCGAACAATCCCAAGAAGGCAAAAATAGATAAAAATAGCAGAAGAACACACGAACGAACGAACGAACCAACGAACCGCGCTCGGCCCGAGCGACTCCGGGGCGCGCGAACCTCCAGCTTCACGAACTCCGACCATTCCGGTTGATCCACGCCCAGTTCGTCGCACATGGCCGAGAACTTCGAGCGATCCTTCCGGCGGGCAAAAGCGGGGAAACCGCGGGGAGGACCCGCCCAAACGGTACGGGTCTCATGGGTCAAACCGGTGAACAGCAGTTCGGGAGAGAACATTTTCCTGCATTCACAGCTCACTTTGTCTGCACAAAATTTGAGAGGCGCAAACTCAATGTTGTGTCTGCATCTGTGGGCACAGGTTCTTGCATTTCAGCCTTTTGCGAAGCTCTACACACTGCCTATTCCTACCTCCTACTCAAGGGCAAGATCTGCTTCAAAGTCCAAGCATCCTCTGCCCGGTCAATATTCTGTGCAGCCGTTCCAAGAATATTGATTCCCATCTTGTCCAGCTTCGGTGCCAAATTGTTCGGCCTGGCGCTTCAAGCCACCGCTGCACTTGGACGGGAACCGTTTGGAAGCGACGCACCCAGAACCGGGCGGGAACCAGTTTCAAGAAAGACTGGCCGGGCAAGCGTCTGACCGCCGACAGATACAATGGTACCTGCCAGGAGCAGGTTTGAAGCATCACAACATGCAAAAATATGCAAAACACATTTGAAAAAATGCACTAACTACTCCTGCAAATACTGAATATTGTTGCCTTTGCCCGACTTGCCCACTAGATTTGTAGGTGAACAACATTGAACAACACTCATATATGCATGTCATATATGCATGTCACAGAAAAAAGAAATGCATGTACAAAAGAGGCAGCCCTTTCATCTCAACTAATTACGCAACTCTTTCATCTCATGACTTCGGAGGCAGCCCAAACCCTTGCAAAATGGACCCAAACCGGGTGGGCCTGCTGGTTGCTCAAAATTGCAAATTTCCAAGACGGTCTCCAAGGTCAACTCCTGCGATGACTTCCGTCGCAGGTCACATCGCTCAGCTTGAGCCATGATCGGAAATGGGTGGCAAGTCCGGGGGTGACAGGGAGGACAATTCCCTGTCAGAGTGGTGGCAACAACGAGGCCAGTTTCTGGGTCCTGTGGGCATTGAATGGCATTCAGACAGTCAGAATTGGGGGGGAGTCTTTTGGCCCGAGCAAAACTGCTGCACGTCACACGTTTCTGCGTTTACTGTGTCCTCGAAGTAGAGACGATCACTCTCATCATAGTCCGTGGACACAGTCTCTGGATTGCAATTGATCACCTGAGGGCACAAAGGAAAAAGTAGAAACAGGTGGTAAGCTAAGGCGCACATCTATCATATTCTATCCAGCCAAAATGAAACACCTGGCTGAAGTTGTTTGTTCTGGGACCAGTTGCCATGGCTCTGTGTCCAGTTTCTCGCAGGGTCCTGCGAGGCCAGAATCAAACAGGTGAGGTCCGCCCCCAAGATCCAATCCCAAACTGTGCCGGTTCAGAACGTCCTCTATCCTCTTTCTCATCATCACAAAGAATTGGTGGGTTTTGGACACTTGCTTAGGAGTGACAGCTTTCTCCCTTAAAGCGCGAACCACATCCAGCTTCGCAATAGTTACTGAGCCATGTCATTCTGTTGCCTCGCGACCGCTCCTTCATGCCTAGAGCGACCTGTTGTCTCACCAACTGGGGCTTAGACCTCAGCTCCAAACCTCCTCGTGACCCCCCAAAAATGCATCGAAAAACCTGCAAAGCCACGAAAACAAGAGGTAAAAGGAAGACACGCAAACTAAACTGTGCAAGGACCGTGCAAGACAGTATAAGAAAGTAAGATCGGCTCGAGCTCGACACCGAAACGCCGTTGGTCTTCTCGACCGCGTCCTGACGGCGCTCACGGAGCTCCAATCGAACTCCACGGAGGCGCCGATGCGATAGCACCCCGAGCCCAGCACCTGGGACGTGAACGGGACGTGAGCACGAAAGGACGGGGATTTTTGTTCAGCAGCGCAAAAAGGGAATAAGAGAGAGAGAGAGAGATGGGGTTTAGGGTTTAACTAATTAGTTGGGAGAGAAAGAGGAAGGTTTGACCTGAGAGGTTCTGGGACAAGAGAGGTTCTGGTTTGAATGGGAAAAGAGAGGTTCTGTTTCACCTGAGACGGATCTGGGTTCCCAGACGAAGCACAGAGAAAGATCGGTCGGGAAGAAGAAAAGGAACATGGCTTGGGCACGGAATCAAGAGACTCATGGGTATGCATCTCATTTGGAAAAGGATCAAAGATTTGCAGGGGGTCCCTACCTACCCTTCTTTACTTCAACCCGAAGATGGCGATGGTATACAGATCGAGACTTGTTCGATGGGCATGTCTGGCAAAATACCTTTCGCGGCGAAGCTCCAGGCATCGTCACGTCCCACCCGTGGGAGGGGGGCCGATGTCTTCGTTCAACACGTACGTCGTACGTTGAAGCCAAGTTGCGATGAACGAAGGTTTTTGACCGTCTTCATTCAAATCAAATGCAGGCGGATCCTGCCAAGTGCGCTGCAGATTTCGAACACTCGGACGATGCGTGTGTGGGGCTGGAAATCGTAGTGAGGCAATGCAATCTATCTCCTCTGTGGCAGGCCTGAGACTTTAAAACCACTGCTCGTACACAATAGACGACAATGAGGAACAATGACGGAAATATATGATGCGGCTGAGCGGAGACCAAAAACCATGCCCATCTTCGTCACAAAATGGTCCGAAAACACCCAGCATGAGTTCTGTGTGACTGCATGTATCCTGGAAGCGTTCCTTCCGCCAAAGCCGGAACTTCGAGTCAACGCAACTGAGATCTACCCACGGATCTACCGTCGCACACGGCGGAGCCCCAACCGCACCGGGGCGGCACCGAGCCGGTCCGGGCTCACGGCTCCGGGGCGGCTGCGGCTCCGTCGGCGCGTCGCCTCCGCTTTGGCGCTCCGGTTCTTGGGGCTCCAAGAGGGCGACGTGGTGCTCCGCTGCAAGGGCGTCTTCTTGAAGGGGAGGCTGAAGGCACTTTCCTGGACGGCCACCCGGGGTGTCGCCCGGGCTGCGGGCGTCGTGTGGTTGGTGGTGAAAAAGCATCTCGAGTGGAGACTGCCCTTGGGGCAGCAGTAGTGTTTGATTTTTGTTAGCTCTTTTAGTGGCTAAACGTGTGGTGTTTTTTAACCACACAAACTCATGGACTCATGGATGATGTTTGATGATTATCATTACTAGTTGCTACTAATCGTGATCATTATTGTTCTCCTGTTATACTCATATTACATAATTTATATTATATATAATTATATATATATATATATGCATGATGTCTTACCGATATTTCTGTAGTGTAGAATTCTGATTGCCAAGACTGGTGACACAGGGTGTTCCAACTGCAAAAGTAGACCCTAGCTCCCCATGTGATTCCTGAATTGCTTGGGTTTCCAGAACTTCTGCAGTGCCTGTCCTCTTCAAGACGGCCTTTTCCAAAGGCGGTGTCATACAAGGAATCCTGTCCGATCACCCAGCGCTCAACCGTCTGCGAACAGAAGGGGCACAGGAGTCTGAAGACTGTGTGTCTGCTGGCACTTGCCTTCCTAAAGCACAAGGCGACCTGCAATCCAAATTGAACGTGGTGAACTCGGCATTTAAGGGCTTCAACATCTCAAAAAAAAGAGGAGTCCGTATATAGAACAACATCCGACCACTTGGAATCGTGTCTGTGCAACCTACACGTGAGGCATGATCAGGCTCGATGCTCTCCGATGGCGCAAGCTGCAGCGCTCCTTGTGAGCTGCAAGCTTCTCGTTTCTCAGAGGGACTACGTCGTTCTGATCACCCACGTAGGTCAAGTACAAATAGTTCCTCAAAAAGACATGATCCTCCATGGTCAATGTATCCATCAATGGTCCCTCAAGATGCCAGTGTGACCCAGTTACAATTTTGCTGTATGACTAGCGCTCCAAATCACGAACCAAGTTGCTCCTAGTGTCCTTTGGGAACAAATCACTCGTATCCTGCCAATCGCTTCCAGAACCTGAAGACACAGACCTCGAGCGCGCTCCGCACGCTCCGCGCGCCACGCGGCCGAGGAACGTTTGCGCGGGGAACTCCGCTGCCAGAGTGTCGACCTGCTTCACGCATGGCCTGCACTGCACTGCTGCGTGGCAGAAACAAGAACCTCTCAGTTTTTCACACCGATCCTATCGAATAGAACATCCCAAGACAGGAATAGGCCGCTGGCGCCTGCACCGTGTTTTTTACACATCAGAAACATGCGACCAGATACGCTCTAAACCAGCGAGACACTACAGATCCAAGCCAATATACGAAGGCGCAGCTTCGACCTCCTCTTCTGGGGGTTCAATATGTTTCAATGAAGTTTGTGGGACACCCTGCAGGCAAAGACTTCCGACTTCCAGCCTCACATTCCAGCTGGCGCGCAGCTTCATGATGGAGATGTCCGTTTCCTTGACGCATTTCCCGATCTGCCTCGTAGAGGGCGGAACGAAGAGGTGCAAGACTGGCACCCAAGAACAACACACTCCCATCCCATGTGCACCACGGTCTCCTGAACCTGGCCTGTGTGGTGAATCGGTTTCATGAAACAGTCCCACAAACTCGCCACAGACACTCGTATAGAACCGAAATGGTTCAGTCCATCGCATCAGGTGCACATGCCTCAAATCCAGTGGTGTTTACCTCATGTCCACCAGGGTCTCGGCGTATTTTTCCAACTAAGAGCTTACAACATCTTACCGAAAGCCCTCCACTCACCGGTGACCTCTTCACCCCTTCCGCCCGGGCGAACACGCGTGTTCCGCGCGCACGAAGCGCGCGGCTTCGCGCGGCCCCGGCTCCGCCTGTCACAGAAGCCCAATTGCTTCACTCGCCGCAAGAACTGGGGACCGGCCTCAGGGGAACGGGTGGAGCGCGGTTTCGGCTGACCATGAAAAGGGTGCGGTTTCGGCTGACCATGGTGACCGGACCGGACCCGAGTCCAGTCTCCGAAGAGCACACATAGCACAGACCAAAAATGGCGTGCCGAAATCTGTGGTTTTCCATCAAGTCTCTCAAAGCATGTCACTTGCTACACTCTTCCCCTTCCATAGGCTTGTTTGATGGTCTGAACACCCATTCAACCCCGGGCCCCTTGGTTCGGTTTCTTTCTCTTCCCTGGTCTTCAAACCCTCTCATCTGACGACACCCACATCCCACGGCAAAGGCTTCCGGGTGTCCCAGTCTCGCCTTGGTCAAGGCGGCAAGGCTGCCCATGCCCTCCATGCGTTTTCGCGCTTGATGAACCTCAGCACTGCGCCAGACAGAGGGCCTTTTCCCTCGGCCCGAGCGGCTGGGTGGTGCGCGGGAGGCGGGAGGGTCCCCATTTTCGATGAGATGCGGATCTGGGGTCTCCAGCTCGTACAAGTATATGCTCAAATTATGCTGGTTTCACTATCTTTACTAACCCTGTTTTTGTTGTTTTTCTTGTGATTTCATCTGCCCAAAAATGGTGTGCAAGCCATGCTCCAAATCCATGCATCTCAACTGTCTCAGTCGTCTCCCAAAAGTGTGGTCCCTCCCCCTGCCTCCGATCCAACCCATCACCGCTTCTGTCGCCTCTGTGGCCCCCAGGCACAGAAGAGCTTGCCCAAGAACCAGCGGTCAATGCGTGTGATCGCATAGACCTGGAGAGAAAAAGAACGATTCTCCGCGCATATGCACCCGCGGTTTGCATGCCCCGCCGCGGGAAGGGCCATCCTTTGAAGGTCAAGGACTTGGGGCAGGGTGCCGAATTCCTTTGTCGACTGAAGCTCAGTGCTTCACAAAAAGCAGCACACCGCTGGAGGTCTTCGGTGGGTGGATAGCTTGGATGAGTTGGCCCCAAGAATTCCAGACTTTAGTCCAACTATATAAGTGTAGTTGCAAACGTGTCCAAAAAGGGACCCCCTGTCACCCTTCCAGTTAGGGATGGTCTGCTTTCTATGGGGAAAAAACGTCGGCACCTAAACCAACGAAATCAGATTCGGTCACCGCCTGTCACCTTTTGTCACCTTTACATGTCTATATTTGTATTATATACCCGTTCGCCTTCAGGTCGACCATTAAAAAGAATGGTAACGACGTGGTGGCATAGTGGAAATCCTTGGTAGGATAATGGTTCTTTGGGGTTCAGACCATTAAAGACTGACCAGAGTTCTTCGAATCCGGATCCGCCCGTGCCCGGCGACAACGGATCTCCGACCTTCTCGACGCTGTAGCCAACCTCGAAGGCATGGGCGATGGCCCACATTCGAAGCCTGGCACACGCAGGACGTGGTGGACGTGCCGCAAGAAGTGGACGCGCCCTTCGACCTTCGATTCCGTTCGGGAAAAAAAAAGGGACCGTGCCCGAGAATCGAACCGCCAGGAAAGATGCTGGTCAAAAAAATATGTTGATGTTGTTGTATTACACTGTAAACACTCATGACAAGCAAGTGTAAGTAGAAATGAACAAGCCAAGACCAAGTTCCTCGGTCGACCTGGCTCCCACTCCACCCTCTTATATATATATATATATAAAGGCTCATCTGCAACAACCTGCATCCACTCATTCCCTGCGCACACATATACACCTGTCAGTCTAGTTTCTGCAATCAGAACACCCACAGAACACGGCTTAAGAAGATCTTTTTAGCGATTAAAACCGAAATGCTTCTTTCAACATCTTTCAACTGCATTGCAATGATGTGGGCGCTTGGGAATCATAGAGGGGTCGGGTGCCAGGCACCCTATACCCATTGGCTGTACACGCTTGGGGGGGTCTCCAGGTCTTCCCACCCACCAACCAACCAATGCCGCATGGGTCCAGGACGCCGGACGGTCCGGGACATCGCAACTCCTCCTCGATATTGTTGTCTTTGGAGGTTCCCGCGGAGGTTCGCGCACGCAGGTACCTGCGTGTTTCCACGAAGAAGACGAGGGGAGAGGGCGGAGTTGGAAGTTTGGACCATGCACTTGGTTAAGGCAAGGCAGACCTTGAGGCAACTCAAAACCCTACGATCACAAATCACGGCTGGCTATCCGATAGAAAAACCACCTGAATTCCGAACCACTATTGTTTTCCCAAATCATGTCACACAACATACCCCAGACGCTCCATGGAAAACGCCCCCATGGCCATCCCATTGGCCCCTGACTTCGACCACCCCAATTGGATGAGTCGCCAGTCCCAGACAGGTCGTGTCTGGGTACTCGAGCCGCCACCGGCTGAGTCTCACACCAAGACTCGTCAAATCCCACGGAGCCTTCGTTCACCATGCGCAAGGCCTGAAGGAGTGTGGAGTGCGATGCGCTGCGAATGCACAGCCTGCCCCGGTCTGCACCTCAGCACTATCTCAACTCTCATGTTGATTCATGTTGATTCACTATCAAAACGACCCTGGTTCGTCCGTCACCCCAGGGAAGCAAACGAAACATGCTGACTTCATGTTACATTGGTGGTGTCAACAGGTTGAAAAAAAATGCCTCGGCATCTTTAGCCAAAAAATACAGAATAACAATAAACGCATCTCTGTCTTTGCGTGGCTTTCTCCATGACTCTCCTCTCTCTCTCTCTGTTTGTTGATCTTTTGGGGAGTGCCTGCCTTCTGCATGGCTTCGGGGAAGGAGCGCGCGATGGACATGACCTCGCCCACGGACTTCATCTGCGTCCCCAAGGTGCGCTCCACCGTGGGGAACTTGTCGATGTCCCAGCGCGGGATCTCGTGACGCGTGACGCTCGGAGGACGAGACGAGACGCTCGGAGGACGGGAAGTGAACGGAGGAAGTGAAGGCTGGGCAACTCACTTGGAAGACTGATCTAGCATGGTTGAACAAGGCAAAAAAAGGAAATGCCAGTAGAATCAACTGGTTCTAAACACCAACTCCTGCCCCACCCAACTTCTGGCACTCCAACTCCTGCGCCCCCCGTTTCGGTGGTCCCAGGTCAGCACCCGGCAAACGCCCTTCTGCCTTCACCACGCAGTAGTCCAGGGAGGGTTCGAAACACGCGGTGGTGCATCGCGTGACCAAATTCCTCAAGCTCACCAGGTCGTGACCTGATTCCGCGGCGGCCGGCCTTCGTGGACCTCCTGGCCTACTGGGGACTGAGTGGTGGGTGGCAGACGCAGGCTCGCGGGCTCGCGGGCTTGCGGGCTTGCGGACGCTATGACTATGCGTGGGGTCAAGGCCATGGCAGGTAGGTTGGAGGCCAGCTACGAACGTCACAGAAGTTCTGGTCTGAGTCTTAGGACGCGAAAAGCTCGGTGGAGGCTGGGTGGAGGCTGGTCATTTGGTGAAACTAAGCGCTCCCTGGTCTCGGTCTCGGTCTCGGTCTCGGTCGGTCGAAAGTGCGGTCTCCCAAGAGTTGGAACGGTGAAGCCCTCGGTCTAAGTGATAGAGGAAGGGTCGGTCGGAGCGTTCGCATGCAACAGCATGCAGCAAGTGATAGGAATGGTCTAGAACTGATCTGCTGTGCAGGTGATATGTGTTTTACAGGAGCTGACTCCTACCCTGCGATCGCAGCCAATCTTTCGGCTGATGAGGTCTTTTGCTAGGCTTCCAGCCCAAGGCAATCTTTGCGGCGACGTATGCCAAGGGGTAGCCGGTGGCCTGGCAGCACGATTGTTGTTTGAGAAAAAAAGATGAAAGTTCACAGCCCTGTGAGTCCAAGACTGTTCCAAATGTGGTCTTTAAGTGACCCGAGTTTGAGGATGTTCCTGCAAACTTCAGTCGGTCAAAAAATCCTCAATCTGGACTTCTAGGGACTGCGTTCCATGTAAGACGCAGTCCCTGTTGCTTCTTATTTTTGTTTATTAAAGCAGACTGAACCATTCACAACAGCTTTACTAAAGAAGAGCAGATGATCATCAATGCACTTGTATAATTCTCTTAATTCTCTTAGACACCTCCACCCCTCCTGATGTCAACAAACCGAAAGCTAACCAAAGCTGGGAATCCAACTACCTGGAATGAGGCTTTGATGAGAGTTACACGTGTTTTCACCAAAAGCACCACCTCTTCTTCCCAAAGTCACGGTGAGTCCCGCCCGTGTCCCGCTGTTCTCCATCCCGGCAGCACCGCCGGCAGCACTGGCAGCACGGCCGGACGTCCGGCCGCACCTTCGAGGCCAATGCACTGCTCCGCGACAGCCGAGCATTCACCTCCACGATGCGGTACCCTGGCGGGTCCGGGCGGACAGGACGGCAAGAGGTTCTGCGGACAGCCCACAACTTGGAAACATGGTATTCAGTGAATGTCCAACATCATCTTCTTGAGTCTTCTTGAGACTTCTCAGTGTCCTTCTTGCTTGGTCACAAAGACTTTGTCAATCAAAGTTAGCAATGAAACCCCGAGTCCTTTCAGTCTCAACCAACTCACTTTCGACTACAGGACCCCCCAACAAAAACACACCTCACCCTGCCAGCGTTTCCGCGAGACGCGGCCAAGAACTCAAGCCGAGTCGACGCTTGGAGTTGGGATCCAAAGCATATTGAATGTTGGCTTCACCCACGATGCCAAAGTGGCGAATCACCTCAGCTTGAAAGCTTGGACGTTGGAACACGCCTTGGAACTAAGCAGATTGGACTCATGCCGAATTCGTCTGCAACACGCGTCGTCGTCTGCTGTTTAGAGAGTCTTAAGTTTAAGTGAAAAACACCCTAAAACCCTCAACAAAGCCGATCAACCTGTACCCTTGTACTATATACTTGAAGGTTGGTAAAAACATCTCCCAGTCTTCAACTCTCTGTACCCCTGGGTGGGGTCCAAGGAGACCGACCGACCGGTGGTTGACCTATAGACCGGTCCTTCGAACGGATCACCCCGTCATCCCCATCTGCAAAGCTTACGCATCACCGGCATAGAACTCCAGGGGCCTACCCTATCCATAGGCCGGGCCTAGGGCCTAGGCTACCCTATCCATAGGCCGGGCCGGACATAGGCCTGTCCTACCGTCCTGCCTAGCCGGTCCAACTGAGCTCCAAACCTTGATCGCCACCGCGCGCAGCTTGTGATACTCATCGTTGCTGAGCGTTTGGGACGGTGCCACCACAATGGATTCGCCCGTGTGAACGCCCATGGGATCCAGGTTCTCCATATTGCACACCACCAGGCAATTGTCCTTTGAGTCACGCCTGAGGCAGGTTCGTTTCTACTCCTGAAGGAGTCACCCCCGATGGCAGTGCGGATTAGCATTCGCATGCGCGCGCATCTTTTTGGTCAAAGCTCTCAGAACCTCTTCCTTGATGAAGGGAAGCAAGACTCTCAGGCCGTGGCATGACCTCATATTCCAGCTCCTTCCATCCTTTGAGGCACTCATCAATGATGACCTGCAGTCTGACATACTGTGTCTTAGACCTCCAAGACTCTTGGACTTACACTGTCGACATCTCTTGTTCTGTTTGATTCATCCAGAGTCAACATGATCCTACTAGGGGACGAGCCATCCGGCAGGGATGGCGCCTCATTTCCGCACACATAATTCCCCTCAAATCCGCACACAGACTTTTTTATATATTTACCTCAAATGCGCACACATGATTCCCCTCATCTGCGCACACATCGATTACATTCCTCTTTAAACAGCCCATGTTACCCCAAACTCAAATGCGCACACATGATTCGCCTCATTTGCGCACACACCAATTCAGTCATGATGATCTCTTTTTGCTCATTGCTTCGTTTGATTGATGATGTGTTAATAACGTCCCTCTGGACATTCATCTACATGATGATCTCTTTTTGCTCATTGCTTCCACAGGTTCACGTCACACAGACGCTCTGCGTTTGATTGATGATTATGGTGGGGGGGGGGGTGTTAATAACGTCCACGGATCTGACAGCCCCAACAGCGCATCTAAAGCGATGGACGTAAAATGAGACAACAAGGTTCAGATTGTGAAACAATCTGGTCGGGTTCCATTCATTCATTCATTCATTCATTCAGTCATTCATTCATTCATTCATTCATTTTTTCAGCCGTGTAAGCCGCGTGTACAAACGAGGGAGCCGCGTGTACAAACGAGTTTCGCGTGCACAAACGAGATCAATTCTCCGCGTGTATATTCGAGGGAAATTCCGCTTGTACAGACGAGGCTCCGCCCTCCGGCAGGGGGGGGAACGTGGGAATGGCCACCGTTCTCACATCTGAAAATCGTTTCTCACATCTTTCTTGTCTGCCTGGGAGGAGTTCGCGAAGGCTCGTTCCAGCAAAATATCCAACTCGGCCTGCCGTTCGGACCGTTCTCACCCGGACGCCGCCGGGTTCGGTTCGCGGCCGGAAACCACCGAAGCTGCGGCGTGCACCGCGCCGTGCGCGCCGGAAGACGGAGAAATCAAGGGTCGTTGGCCCAAAGAAAGGAATCGAGTCGGAACCCAGGTACACTCCAACTCAAGTTCTATGGCATCGCAAAAGAAACTTGAGCAAAGGACAATGAAGAAAGGCCATGCCAAGGCATGCCACTTCCGTCCAACAAGAGATAACAAGAGTTGGAGTGTACAAATGTGAGTCTGTGAGGACCAGTAGATGCACAAAGAAAACCTTCATCACCTGTCCATTTTGTTTGCGACTGCGTATGAAGTTGTTTTAAAACAGGATTCTGGTGGATGGCAAAGCTGTATCGTATGGCTCCTTCTACTGGACATGAGTATTTTTTGCGGAGGAGCATTTTTGGATGTGATGAATATCACCACACGACACTGGATCGCAAACCATGGACTTTGAAGTAACTATAAACTGCATCACAAAGTCTCCACATATGCTTTTCCTTGCGGAGTCAGAACGGGTAAGTGTCCCCAAAATAGAACTATTCGATGAACCTCTTCTAAAGTGGTTGACTGTCGCTGAATACACCCCCTCAACGCAGGCTGGTCAGGCGATCTCCTGTGGGGGTCATTTCTTAACGGTCAACATGTGGAAACCCTTTATCTATCTCGCAGACCATGTTCACTCTATATAGTCACCGTTCGTTGTTGGCAAACATCTTTGCCATGGCATGAGACGAACAAACGGAGTCCTCGTTGCTCGCAAAGCCACTTCCAAGGCCGCCCAGTGCAAATGCAGCTCGCACCAGCACCTGACAGCCACATCCCAAGAAGAGCACCAGGTGACCAGGTGTTTGGGTCCCTCTTTCCGCTCACCTTAAGACTCTGAACCATATGATGGCCACACTCATCCGCCTCTGGGCGGTTGACTCTTGATTCTTGATTATTACCCTATTCCCATTTGGATAACCTCTCCATTTGGGACGCTGAAACCTCATCAACCCCCCCCACTGACTCACTCAACGGACGCGCGGTCCCACTCCGAGTTCCGTGCTGGAAAGCCGATCTCCTTGGCCGCCTCGAAAGCAGCCGTGCCGCCGACGGTGTCGGCCGGAAGAGAAAAACGCAGCCAGGAGAGCCATAGATCACTGGCGCCATCTATGTGTGCTGTACTCAGCAGTCTAGGCAGTGGAAAAATCATGAAACATCTACAGCAGCAGACTGTGCATGTTGTTGACAATCCAAGGAAGAACCTCCGTCATCAATCACCCAAGATCCCCCAGCAGGAACTAGACCAAGGCGTTTTACTAATCAACAGTCAGCATCTTATAGAACTAATCGCATCCTCAACTGCTAGAAATCTTGCAGATTCTCTCCTTCGATCCCTTTTGGGGTCTCCCAAAACATAGCAGCCGTGCGATCCCTCCTTCTTTGCTTCTTCCATGGTGTTGGCGCAGGCCGAGAGGGCACACTGCTCGCCAATGCTTTCGACGCCCGCCTGGGCCGATCCAAGTGGCACTTGTTGTCGCAGCAGCGACACGACCGGTGAAACGGTCCTCGTTCCTCTCGTTCCTGGACCGATGGACCGATGGACAGGACGCTGCAAAGGCGGAGTGGTTCGGGAGACCAACCGATGGCCTTGAAGCCCGCGACGCTGCAAAACCGATGGCCTTGAAGACGTCGCGGTCCTCCGTGGCAATGATGGAATCGATCTGCGTGCCGAGGACCTGGCAACAAAGAACAAGCTTTTGTTGTCCCACGTGGCCGATTTGGCTGCACCCAACATCGGTGTCGAACAAAACAGACCAGAACCGTCTGCTTTGCGAGATGGCTGCGTAGAAAAGATCAAAAGACTCCCCTGTGACCTTCCGGGAATAACCTAAAAAGATATGGGAAGAAAAACCTTGTGTTGTGTTTGGTATATCAAGTAGGCCCAGGATTCAGGCGATGAAATTACATGGAATTCATGGTGGGCCAGGAAGACTGTTTAGGACGGTTGATGATTTATAACATTTTAATCATTTTATAACTTATGACTGGTTGTCATTCAGAAAAGTAGGATGTCTGGGGGGTAGCACATACAAGGACATCTCCCACTTGCAAGGGGTACTGAATTGTCTACCTCTTTTCAACCAAGCTTCCTGGGTTCAGAGCCAATGCCATAAAGCTTGAAGGCTTCAAGCCATGTAGTACCACCCCATCAACCCACTGATAAATGTCACGATCGCAGGTCTTTCTCCACGATCTCTTCAGATTATACGATACTGAGCACCACGGCAAGCGCATTCGCACACAGCATCACGCCGCGCTGCGTAAATAAAACGAACCGCTGACTTCGGAAAACCTGTACGCGGCCTTCACGCCGTACTTCTTCAGCGTCCCATTCTTGTGAAGTTGAACAGCACAGTTCAGTGCCGTCTGTCCACCTCGACTCGAGCAAGCTCGGTTTTCTGCTCGGTGGTTGTGCTGGCCACAAAGGCTCAGAGTCTACTCAAGAGGCTCGTTTGGAGCACAAAGAAGAACACGTCTGGCAGCCCTGGTGATGACTTCTTGAGGCAAGATGATACGTTTGCAGAAGATATGTTTTTCAGCTGGTGAAAAGGCCCTCATCCACCTGCCAGTAATACAAGCGATTTTCCAGATTTGAGAAGCTGTTGATCAAGTCCCAGATATCTTACACCTTGTCAGAAGACTCATCTTGTCTCCAATCCAGATGTCTTCTCAATCGCATGGATAGATATGAAATATATAGAATAGATATGGAATGATATGGATATGGATAGTCCCACATGGGTCAGATCCCAATGATCCAAAAATCCTAGCAATTGGACCACGAGACTGCAAAATGATCCAATATATGACCCAAATTCGCCTCCATCATCATCCGTCTTTCCATCATCCCTGGGTCCCTGTTATCTCTTTCCCTTCACATGTAGATATCCACCTGTCCACCTGCCTGCTGACACCCTCTTCGCTTCGAAAAAAAAACCACTTCGCTCACACGGAGGCTCCGGCTTTCCCCCTCGCTCCCGCGTTCTCCGCTCCGCTCCGGCCCCGCTCCGGCCCCGGTCGGACGCGGCACCGAAGGCCGCGAAGAGCCCGTCCGGTCGGGTCTTTTCGATGACCTTGGAGTCGGTCCGGTCGGGTCCGGTCCGGTCCGGTCCGGTCCGGTCGCAGAGACAGCCGAGTAGAGAGCGCTGGGCAAGCGGATTTTGGGGGGTTTGTTTGGGTGAGGGACGAAAGCAGTGTTTGTTTGGTGGGGCAAGGGGGGAGGACAATGTCCTCTCCTTCAACCGCCATCTCCAAGTGAGTTTGAAGGGAAAATGGCATGAGAGGTGTGGGAGATCAGTTGCGGTCCTTGGTGCTTTTGACAGCTGTTTCCGGAAGCCGTGCCTTCGTGACGAACTCCGGTGTGACAGGCACGAAGAAGATCTGATCAGCCAGACCCTTTGATGTCTGCACTGTGGCGATGTTTGGGTTGATCCTGGCAGAGAAAGCACAAAAGAGTTCCACGGTCCGATTGATTTTTTCACGACTGAGGCGGGATCAAAAAGCAGGCGGCCAAGGAAAAAAGACTGATGTTTACATCTGTTGAACAAATACTCTTGCTTCTGTGATGTATAACGGAACGCATTGTTGTGAATATTCGAGGGTGAAACTTCATTCGTTCAAAAGCATGCCAAGGATTGCAGAATGGACTGCACTTGCTGCTCCCGCAAAGCCTTCAGCAGGCAACAGCAGGCTGCGGTTTCTGCTGGAGATTCACTACACTTGTGAGATCTTGTGAGGCTTCGGCGCTGGTCTTGGCTCACATCCAAGTGAAATGGGAGTCTGACTGTCGATGTAAGCCGCATTGTCCCTGTTTGCGTGCAAGGATGTACGATAGTTGTTTTCAGTCCAACTCCCACATGGTTATATCTTTCACTTTCATGATCTTTCTGTCAATGCTCTATCGCTTTGAGACGCTTCAAACCTCCATCTCAATCCCAAACCACTGCCTACTTGGGAAGACCGGCCCAGTGGGCTCTCCCTGCCGCTTCGGACGTAGCCCACCACGCGGACGCGCAGGGCCAACCGAACCAAACGGGCCTTGATGGCTTGGCTGCCCGAGTAGTCGAACTCTCCCGCTTGTCCAATCGTCAGGCCACCCGATCCCAGCACCAGGACCTCATGCGGCTCCGATGGCGAGAGTTAGCAGGATCGATGCAGCGGATGGATGGACGTGGGTGATGGACGTGGGTGATGGACGTGGGTGATGGACG